GAGTTAGGCTTTTTTAATACAATACATTATACAGGGTACTTAGAAACAAGAGAAACAATATCTATAGTACTGTGGGATACGTGATGTTCATTCACACTCAGGATGGAGAAAGGAAACTCACAATGTGCTCTCTGTATACATGTTGTATTGGATGTACAGTGCAGCTTGGTGCTGGGAAGGCAGCGTGGTTACAAGTGTGATGTAGAGAGAGCTGGTTGGTGAGGGTGCTCAGAGGAGGACCAGCCTGTGGGTCGCCGGCGGGAGCGGAGGAGGAGGAGGAGGTGTTGCTTGCTGGTGGCTGTGTAGAAAGAGAGAGGTCACCACGAGGTGAGGTCTTATATAGCGAGGGTAGGCGTGGCTTAGTAGTTGACCTCAGTCGTGTAAGGCGGCGCTGGTTGACCTAGACACGAGATGCGGCTGGAGAATTCAAGGGGTTGGCTACTCAGAGACCAAAGCGTTTGTAGGGGAGGAATCCACTACAGTACAATACCGTCCAGTAAAGTACATGTACACATCATAGTGGAGCGGCATAGCTACAATTTCCATAACAATTGTGCATTTAATGATGAAAGCACCAAATTTGGCACAGCAATAGAGTAATGGTATGTGAACATTTTCAGATATGGAACCACTCGATACTGGATTTGAGTGGCCGCTATAGATCAGGGGCGGATCCAGGAAAAAAATTCAGGTTTCACCACGTTACTGTCTTAGTCCTGTGAGACCGTCTAATACTGCGAAGCATAGGGAAATAATAGGCTATAGGAAGAAGAAAATGTCAAACCCCAGTAATCACCTTGGACCAACCATTGTTTGCAATAGCCAAACAGATTCAGTGGAATTGGCCCGAAAATTACGGCGAAGAGAAATTTATTATGATTCTGGGCGGTCTCCACATTGAAATGGCGGCTCTGAGGAAGGCAGGCAGTTGGTTGCAGGGTAGCGGGTGGGCAGAAACCCTGGTGCAAGCCGATATTGCCAGCCTGGGAACTGCAAACTCTTTCCTAAAGGCTGCTCACGTCACACGCACCAGGTGAGGCCATCTGATAACAGCAGCAACCCTGAACATCCTACAGCACAAGGCAAATACACTGAAGATGCCCAAAGTGATGGTCATGAGCCCCTAGAGTTTGGTGTCTGGTGTCAGTAAAGGGGTGAATGTTGTCCCCAGTTTCAGTACTGGGCAACCACCCTCAACCTAGAGTTAAGTATCTTTATGTTTGTTAGATCACTACGAGGATCAAACTTCTCGCTATACAGTTACTATTGTTTTGTATCACACAGTGAACAGTTCCAAGAGAAACAAGAAGTAAGCAGAGATTATTAATTTAAACTGTTATGTGACGTAGACCAAAATAACATGAGCGGAATAATTTGGCTCAATAAATATCAACAGAAGAATGAACATTCCTTTCATATTACGGTGCAGCTTCTGTTTTACTACCTGGAGAGATCTCCTTTGGTAAGGTATTAATATATTAATACTGTTACAGTTCAATGGTTTTATTCATTCCTATACAATATTGATTTAAATAAATATACATACAGGAATTTAACAATTTCATATAAGACATTATATATATCTTTTATCAACATTATCCTTCATACACATAAAGGTATTAACGTACATCTATTTAAAAGAAAAAAGTTTGCTTATTTATCAAAGTATGCAGCAAAATCATAATCATCATCATCATTATTATCTTTAAGCCCTGAAAACTTCTGGAAGGCAGATGTGAGATCGTCTGTTCTCTTGACGTTACGCTGGCTTTCTTTGCGTGTTTTCTTCTGCATCTTCTTCTGGAATTTCTTCATGGACATGGTTTGTGGATCAAACTCCTGTAGAGGAGTCTCCCAACGTTTCTTCTTCTCAGTACTGTCAGCAGGCTTACTGCTGCCTGAACCATCATCCATATTAATGCATACATCTTTAGGCAACTGTCAAAGAAAAAAATAATTGATCACTGTACTTTCATGGTCAGCATTCAAGGTACACAAATATTAAGCCCAAGCATGAAAGAACACGAGAAAAACAAGTACGATTGATGTAATATGACCAACACAAATATAAATATTTCATAATGGGAGATGGAATAGTAATAGAATGGCTGACAACTGTGTACAAGGTACATATGACAGAGGAGATGGTACCAAAGCAATGACGGTGACCATTTATAGTTACCTTATATAAAAAAAGGAGATAAAACATTATTGAAGAAGTCTTTTGAGTGTCAGAGGGTGTGTATTAAAGGACAAGCAAGGTATAGTTCAAAAGAGGATTTGTGGATCAAGAGTTTGTATTACGAGAACATAATTAGATAGTAAAGTAATGTAGGAATATATAGAAAGTTGGTGAATGTTGTCCAAAGATTTTATGGGTAGAATGAAAAATATGTCAAGGGTGTGATAGGAAGAGGAGAACTGAACCGGTATGGTAACTAGGAGTAAACGGAACACAAATCATAACTTACTGTCAGGCCTCCTTCAACAATGCCTTCCTCCTCTTCTTCCATCTTTTCCTCCTCTTCTTCACTTTCCTCTTCCAACTCTTCCTGATCATTGACCTCCATAACTGGTCCCAAGGAATCCACTACCATTGTCTGGGAAGGTCTATATGTGGGTAAAGCTTTCAGCATTGATCCCTCTTCTGACAAGAGACTGTCTATGTCAAACTCTTTACTTAACTCGGTTATCAATGTTGTTCCTACTTTAGTGTCGGGTACTTCTGGAGGTTGTGTGTAGAATTTGATATGACCTCTGCAATAAAAGTAATATTAGAATACAAATGATTACTGCCACAAGAAACAATATAAAGCATTTGATTCCTTACTTAAATACAGTCTGGTAACAAGTGGTAAAGAGTTCCTCAAGACACTGGGACAGAAAAGACTCACGTGTTCCAATCTTGTAAAACTTTGCGTGCGGCCATTGCTCTGTCTGGGATACCTTTCTTTTTCAATTTCCCCAAGCGCTTTGCCAGCAATGCCAGAAATTGATCTACCGTTTGAAAATCTGGTATCTGGTAGTAGATCATCAGCTGTGGAAATAAAACATTTTTATGGTACAGTACAAGAGTTTGTTTCATTACAACTTAAAGAATTATATAATTTCCACAAATATTAAACACCTAACATGCTGGGTCTGTTGTTCAAAGGTCTGTAGCAAGTGATGATAAATGGTATGTGAGCACACAAGTGTCTCTATGTTTATAAGACCCCCCCACCCCCCAATTAAGTCTAAATACACGCACGCGCACACACATTGAAACATGGTAACTTGCTATTGAGATACAACTGAAGGTTAATAAATCTTCTAGCTTTACTCCTTAACCACTTTAGTGTGATGTGGTTCATGTGATGCAGATACAGGTAGTAAAAGATGAAGTGAGATGTGGTAGACGTGGGTGACCCAAGATCAGTAAAACACACAAAAAAAGGACAAAATTGTAACACCAACATACACATACGTTCTTTCCCTGCTTTGTGCAAAACATTATGTAAACCTAAGTCATTTTAATGTAAAAGAAGCCATCTAATGCAGCGATTATCTAAAAACTAGTAACAGGAGGCAGGGTGGTACAACCAGAATCTTCCTTTCTAAAGATGTTTACCTGATTTTTGTTTGCTCGAGCCAGAATGGCCTCAACAGGTTTTATGGGGTCATCCAGTTGCTCAATCTTGACAGCATTTCTGAGTGCTGCTGAAGCATCAGAAGTATCCCCACCAGGAAGAATAATACCTGGGCAGTCAAGCAGTTGTATTTTGGAGTCCAATTGAACTGGTTGCATTGTTCTGTTAAAAGCAGATGCAACAATTTAGTCAACATTATTTAATGTCTACCAATAGGAACTGCAAAATTAATAGCTTATGTCTCTACATTTTGCATTATAAATAGCTAAATATAGACTTACAAATACATATGAAACTAGAACCGAGGAGAAAATTACAATCCTGAAGAAGAAAATAAAGAAATAGGGGCTGATCCCAAACCTTATCTTAGCTATAACCAAACCTGGACAGAATTCCTCAAGACTATGCCCAGGGAAGCTTTAACCATGAAGCTGAGGCTAGTTATGAGATTAACCTTCTCAATGACTATCCTAACTTATATAAAGTGGTAACGGTATGAAAGAGGCTACAGTTGCCTTGAAGTTAGATGAGTAATGATCACCACACGCAGCACAGCTTTGGCTCTGTTGTATTGTGAGACCATCCTGTTTCACACAACGGTAATAAGTAACTAGCAACCCCTTAACAGGATACTATACACAGACCCAACTCCTGAAGCAGGAATCATGAATGCACACTATCCCATCCACTACAGACCCTCCCAAGCTGCCCAGACCACACTGTGAATCAACCATCAGCACAGAGCAGATTCTCAGTTACTTGATGCATAATATCTTATGAACTGCTTATAAAATAAACAGCACTCTACTTTATTACCTTAAGCAACACCTATAACATTTAATCTTCAGACTAAGGGGTTCCTAAGCCACAAGCCTTTGGTATGTACATTGAAGAGTCCTTCTAAATAGGAGTAGATGACAAAGAACAGGTAAGGAGAGAGGATATTTCTTACTTTGTGAAGCCAGGTGTTGATCCAACGCCACAAGACTTGCTGCGCTTCAAACTGTTGATGACACTACTCTTCCCAACATTGGGAAGGCCTACAACACCAACTGAAATTGCCGTCTTGATGTCCTTGTTCCGGCAGTAGTTCTTCAGGAGCTGCATAAGAACATCAGCTCCCAGACATTTTGAAGACTGCACAAGTTCTTCCGATGATTTCATAATTCTGACGAAGTAAAAGTAATTTCTCCGATAATTCTCTCTCTATTTCTAATGTACTACAACTCTGAAGGATGGAAATAGGCGAGTGAAAAGTATAAAATGAGTAAAACTGTAAAATAATAGTGTACAGTGTGAAAGGTGTTATTACTTTGAGAGTTGCATGAATACTGGAAAGAGATAAAAGTGCTAAGCAATCTTATGCAAGTTGTACTGATATAATAATTTTACTACATGACCATGAGGATTTTTCTGGATGATGGCTCTCTAATTAGCATTGCCACAAATAATCTACAACGCATAGTTTCAACCTCAGTATAATCCAACGTACTGTACAATACAATTTTCCATTTACTAAGATTGTTTGTATTTGATTCCTTCCTGTCTAATTGGTCTATTTCACATATGGATCAAGTTAACGAATAAATTAGGTCAATACAAACCATTGGTGAATAATTGTCAACTTACTTAGCAGAGGACTGAGCCAAACGGGAACCCTGGAGTTGTGTGCTCGACTTGAACGCTATTGTTGGATATTCACGACGAAGATACTGTAACCACTTCTCAAGGTTCTCTCGAGGAACTAAGTCAGCCTTGTTCAGTAGCAATACAAGCTTCTTACCAGACTGGCCCGTCACTGTGGATTCCATTTGGGGCACTCGGGTTCCAAGAGGATCACGCGCATCCAGCACCTCCAAGACGACATCTGCAGCTTCAACAACCTACATAAGTAAACACAATGCTGTTCTCATCACCCAATAGCAATCATTATCTGGATATACGACAATTTTGTTTAGTGAAGAGCATCCTAAGATATTTTCCAAGAATCTCATTGTTAGTTGTTTCCTTTGGTGATGCAAGATATTCCAACTTACCTTTTTGAATTCTTTGTAATATGCCTTTGCAGATCTGTCACTCAGATTACCATGTGTGTTTGCTGTGACTGCTTGATCGGCCTCAAATTTGACGCCTCTTTCTTCAGCTGTACGAATGAGTTCATTGATGTTTCTAATGATTGGGGGAAGAGAGGCTCATCTTCCTTACTTTATAAAGAAATTAGACAAATATATTCATTATAAAACTTCTATGTTTAAATAAAAAGAAAAAACTGACCTTGATATCCATTTACTGACAAAACTAGTTCCCTGTAACCAAGATGCAATAATCTTGTATAAATCAATCAAAATATCTAGAATCTTTTGATAGGATAGTATTGAACCCATCTGTCACTAAGTCCTGCCTTAATCACATCAGAAGGAAGACAAGGTATCTACATCATGACCACTTCAGGCCTCCTAAGTTACTTGAATGAAAACCTTCGCTTCTACTCTTCCTTATGGTTGTCCGGGGGTTAAACAGACTAACCATAAAATTAGCCCTAACCACCAGTTACAAGTCTCTTGGATCTAGACCAAATGTTAACAAGCACATTCCACAAGCAAGGGAAAATAGTCTCTCTATAATTAAACAAAGGAGGTAAATAAAGCATTGTACAAGAGAAGAGTATTAACAAACCCAATATCTCTCTTTTTGGCAATGGCTTGGGCTCTCAGTTCACGTCTTTTAAGTTTATCTTCCTCCCTGCGACGCTCCTGGGCCGCCTTTGCTTCTTCTGCTTCCTTTATCACCTGGTCATAGAATGGAAGTGTCTTAGGCACTCCAGGATCTTTGGTCCTTTCTGAAATTAAATTAAATTTAAATTCCAATATTTTAATAAACCAGTTGAAATAATTATACAGCACGTACATCCTAAATGCTTAGAGCAATGTTCAATGTGGTAACTTCCCTTGATGGGTGACCTTCAGAGAGGTTTATGAGCTACTGTGCATGTCTAGCCCACTCTACCCTTATAAAGCCCTTACACAGTACAGTACATTCTTCCCCCTTTTTGGGCTGTAAAGTTCCCATCACCTGCCCTTTTACTTCACTCCTGTACACACACTTTGTAATCCCACCTCCCATAATTCTCTCCACAGAGCCATCACCATCATACTGTATATATATGTGACAGAACCCATAATAGGATATATGACCTATTATCTATTTGGATACACCCCATTTCGTAATCAATCCACATCGTCACCGACCGGGTTCGTCACCACTGACAGTCTCTGGTATTAGTGACAAATTGTAAGTTATTATTTTACACCAATAGAAATTACACATGTATACAGACGACTCGAGAAGCATTGTGTTATTATTATACATGAATATTAATTATTTAATAAAGAAAATGATTAAAACATTGGTAAATAAACAAAATACAGAACAAATGAAGGTGATTCGGCACCAGCGCACGAACCACCGAGCAGTGAGATGATTGCAGGAGTATTAACAATGTTTTTGTTTTCGTCTTTAATAAATTGTCTTGGTGTTTTTTATTATTTTATATCACAAGCAACAGTTATTTCCGTGTATATATTGATGGGAATGAACGGGGTGACGAAAGGGGTAAGGCAGTGGTTACGAAACGAGTTAAAAATAGTGGCGACGAAGTGGGTTGTTAACGATATAGGCAGACCCCATCTATTTCTTAAGTTAAAACACATTTACTTTATACTTACTTCTAAACTTTTCTGGATGTTTTCTCTTCTCTTTCTTCAGCTTCTTGTGGTGGTCTCTCACTTTCTTCTGAACCTTGTACTTGAGCTTTAGAGTCAAGCGCTTGGTTTTCCTTTCTGTTGACAACAGTAAATATGATTAGATCTCGATTTATAGTATTAATTCAGGTTAATTCAGGTGGAACCGATATTTAAGGGAAAGGAAGAAGAGAAATTAAAGAATATCACTATCAGAAAAGAGGATGTTCTTAAGAAGATAAATAAACTAAAGAAAACAAAATCCCCAGGACCGGATGAAATTTTCCCTCGAGTCTTGAAAGAGTGTAGGGAACAGATTAGCGGACCCCTCGTAAACTTATTTACAAAATCATTAGACACCGGAGTTGTGCCAGACTTGTGGAAACAGGCAAATGTAGTACAGTGGTCCCTCTGTTAACGAGCGCCTCGGTTAACGAGATTTCGGTTAACGATTTACCTCCTAAACCTAAACTTATCCAACTTGAATCCGTTGCTCCGAGTCCTATCCTGCTCGGATATTATAAGAACTTTATCTAAATCCCCTTTATTGATTCCTTTCACCCACTTAAATACTTTTATCATATCTCCCCGCACTCTTCGTCTTTCTAGGGAATGCAAGTTAAGTTTCTTTAACCTATCCTGATATGGAAGGTTTCTAAGTCCCGGAATCATTTTTGTCATTCTTCGCTGCACCGACTCTAGTGAATTGATATCCATTCTATAATAGGGGCACCAGAACTGAACCGCATAATTGAGGTGCGGCCTGACTAGCGCAAGATATAGTTGCAATAAGACCTCTGCACTCTTGTTACTTACACTTCTAGATATAAAACCCAATACTCTGTTTGCCGTATTTCGAACATTAACGCACTGTTTTCTAGGCCGTATGTCCGGGCTTACAAGTACCCCTAGGTCTCTTTCACAAGTCGACTTCTCTAGGTATTTGTTCTTCCAATATTAAGTACGCTGCACTTGCTGGTGTTGAATTTCATTTGCCATTTTTCAGACCACCCCTGCAGTTTATTTAGATCCTCCTGTAATGCATTTGCATCCTGCCCTGAATTAATCTGCCGCCCTATTTTGGTGTCATCCGCAAACTTGCTTATGTCACTGCTGATCCCAGTATCTAGATCATTGATGTCGATTATGAACAAGAGTGGGCCTAGTACTGACCCCTGGGGAACCCCACTGGTTACACGGCCCCACTCAGATTTAACACCATCTACGCTGACCCCCGCCAACCGCGGTCCGACTAATTACCCAAATGTAGCCACAATGAAGTCAAATAATGGTCCTACATGAATAAATCGGACTGCTAATCACTTCTCGACTAGTATTTGGTGTCACAGTCACAAAAAATTGGTAAACTTAATTTAATCTGAGTTGGGTTGTGTTAGGTTATGTTAGATTAGGTTAGGTTATGTTAGTCTGGGTTGGGTTGGGTTAGGTTAGTTTGGGTTGGGTTAGGTTAGTAAAATACAAATTAATAAAACTTCCAATATGATCTATGTCTAAATAAACACAATCAGTAAAAAAATAAAAAGTCTCATTTATAGACCAATTGATGTCATAGCGGCCTTAAAATACAACATTACCAAGAACTAACCATCTACTTACTTTTAGCGACCATTATGATGTAGTTAAGGTGTAGTTATTAGGTTAATGACACAGAGTTAACAGCAGGAGACACTCGTTCCCTCACACGTGTTTACTGTCCGCCATGAGCACCTTCTATCACTCCTGTACGGCCTCTTTAACAGTGTCAGCCAGCCAATGAGATCACGAGTTATAAAATATCTTCGTTCTGATTGGATATGAAGCTGGAGACGATACCACTTCTATCACTTCTGTACGGCCTCTTTAACAATGTCAGCCAGCCAATGAGATCAAGAGTTATAAAATATCTTCGTTCTGATTGGATATGGAGCTGGAGACGATACCACTTCTATCACTCCTCTACGGCCTCTTTAACACTGTCAGTCAGCCAATGAAATCAAGAGTTATAAAATATCTTCGTTCTGATTGGATATAATGGTGATTAATAACGATATAAGGAACACATAGCTACGGTCACAACAAAGATGGAAGACGTGGCAGAGGTGAACACTGTCCGGGTACGAGACCATTTAGCCCACTGGGAGGATGACAGGACACCATTAGCACCATTAATGCCACAGGAACGTGATTCTATTATTGAGTTAACGTCTGTGTCTGTCTGGAGGGCTCTACCGTCAGGGATAGAGGATGAGGAGGATAGAGGTGATGTGTTGGACTCTACCAGGGGAGGCCCTAAAGCTGACACCCTGGCTCAATATCACCTCCCTGATAGTCTCTCCCGATTAAAACTTGGAGATGTTAAGATAGAATCAAGTCAACAGGTTAGTATTATCTCATTATGCTGGAGTTTGATCGATTAAGTGAATATTCTTTGTAAGGTAGCAGTAGATATGATGGCACCCACTGTAGGGGCCATGGTCAGTCATCAGCCCAGGGTCCTCCCAACACCAGGAGTCACAATTATTAATGTTGTAGCCCTAATGACACAGGCTATGGCAGTCAGTAATTAAATCAAGTTCAAGTCTACCATTAAAGTTGAGATGGGTTATCGTTTAACTAACTACTGTAGGGCGTATCACCATAGAACATGATAACTCTCCTATCTAAAGAAAATGCTTAATATAAATGTTATGTTTATTTATCTGACAGGTAAAGATGACAAGCTTCACATATCCCGTATGATATTATTTAATACGGTTGTCACTTTGAAAAATATTAATGATGTCCGTTTCTAAAACACAATTTCCCTTGAATGTAAATAACAAATAATAATCGAATTCTGACTTTTACAGTTTCTCTCGTGGTTCGCCGGCGTGGAGAGGGAGATGTGCGAGGAACACGACGGGCCTTACCGGGACTATGTGAAGCAGTTGAAAGCTCACCGATCAGAATGCCATACACTCCTCGCACAGCTGGACCACGCCTTGGACAACCTGCAGTATCTCTCCTCACAGGTACTGCAGTGGGTTAAGTCTTCATTAAAACATTGGATCTATGAATATCCTAATAGAGTAATATCTTAATGTTATGTTCTTTCAGTAACTTTATGGCTTATTCCCTCCATCTAGCAACCTCCTCGGGTGTGAGTATTTTAGCCAGAGATATTTCCCGTCAAAAGTAGGTGTGTTCATATCTGAGTTTGATTAATTCTGTGTTTTATCGGCACATTTTTATGATTTTTTAGTGAACTTTTTTTATAGTTGTTCAGTCTTCCTTCACAGTATTATTATTATTGTGTTTGTTGTATTAGTATTGTGTTCAGTTTGATGTTGAGGGAGAGCTTTCATTTAACAAGTGGGAAATATACATTAATGCATTTAATTGTTTCTTTCAGTACACCAGTGTATCAAATAAGACGGGTGCTCTACACACCGACTGTGAACACTTGCTGGCAGAGCAGACACGACTTACCAATAAAGCAGACACTATTGAGAGCAAACTTACATACTTCAGGGAGGTCGACAGAATCAGTCAGAAGCTCAACTCTCCGGCATTCCAAGTTACTAGTGAAGGTTTTATTCCGCTCTTGGCCAAGATTGATGAGTGTATTGGTTACATGAATGGAAACCCATCATTTCAAGAGTCGTCTCTATATTTAGCTAAATATAAACATTGCTTGAGTAGGGCTCTTGGTATGGTAAAGTCATATGTAACAAAATCTTTAGAAAATGCCACCCAGCAAGTTTCGTCTAAACCCGGCACTGAAAAACCAACGACTGACAATGCTGCCGTGCTTTACTACGGGAAGTTTCGGACTAATGCCCCAAGAATAAAGTCACTGATGGCAGAGATTGAAGATAGAGTTGAAAACAGCCCTGAATACACTACCCTGCTGAGTGACTGCCATCAGTGTTATTTTTCTCAGCGACAGAGACTAATGGGCCCATGTGTTAATGATGCAGTTGCTCAGTTATCACAAAAATATGAACGAGATTACTGTAAGCTAGTGAGAAGTGGATGTGCTTTTCTCATCCACGTATGTGAAGATGAACACACACTTTTCCACCAGGTGAGTAGAGTCTATGTTAGTTCCTTCTTGTACTGTAAGATGGGGGTCATAAATGTAATTTTGTCGCTGCAGATTTTTGCCTATTTTTTTTTTTTTTTTTTTAGTTTATCAGAAGCTACCCTCAGACTGTCCGGTCAGGCTTTAGCAGGAATAACCATTCAATTATCACTGTTGTCTGAAGTTACCCCATGTCACAGAAAATGTACAATGTTTGCTGAATTTCTGTTGACATGTACATGTATGTATAGCCCATTAGTTCACATACCAATAGCTTACTTAACATGGGCTTTTAGCCTTCAAACTTAAACTGCAGCTTAAATAAACCTCAAACATTCTCACCGAACATAAACTATTGAACGACACCGACAATGTATTAACGAGTGTACAATATTCCATCCAAGTATCGGTAATTTATTTATTTATTTTATTTACCTGACCTACTCCAGATTCCAATGGGGTTGATTAAAAGGACCTTTTGCTGTATACTGTATTTGAAGTATTTTATAAAAGATTTAAACATTTTATCTACTACATAAGTAAAGCAGTCTTGAACTCTACTTTAATAACAGTTATAATATATGTGCAGTATTGAAAAGAGTGTCTACTAAATTTTGACTGAGATTTATATATTTTTTTTATTGTATATTTTCTTTGATTAATGAAAGTGAAAATTTTACAGTTTTTTACCGCTGGAACCCCAGACCTGGACGGATTTCTTCAAGGTCTCTGTACAGGACTATATGATGTTTTACGGCCTCACATCATCCACGTCGACCATTTAGAGACACTCTCAGAACTCTGCAATATCCTCAGAAGAGGGTGAGTGTTTATGTTCTTTATAGCCTGTTATCTTTAGGCACATTATACCCTGACCCCGTTCATTGACTTAATCCTATGACTACTGTGTAGGTTGAGTTTGGCTATGGTAGACATTTAACACTCCAGCCAGATGATGATGTGTATATTAACTCTATTAGCTTCTCATACACTGTGTTAATTGATCAGCCATATTTCATTTTGTTATGATTTGAAGATGCACTCGGCTAACTCTTCTTTGGGCACTAGATAGCTTAAATGATTGTGATTGTCTTTATGTAGGAGAAATAAGAATTTACTCATGTTTTAATTTTTCTAGTACACTACATAACATTATTGTACAGTAATCTAACATATTTTGATACAATACATTTATTTTACAGGATGATAGAGGAGCACTTGCAGAACAACCCAACACAGTTAGCTCCTCTCACTTCAGTAGTCAACCAGATGCTAGAGGATGCACAAGAAAGACTGGTGTATCGCACCCACATCTACATCAATACAGATATTGCCAACTTCCGTCCCTCACCTGGAGACCTTGCATATCCTGGTAAACTTCAATTGATGGAAACCATTGCCGACGGTTTAGCTAATCAGCGGAAAATGCATTCTCGCAATGCTTCTGTTTCTTCCATGTCCTCTGTAAGGTAAGTAGGGTTTTGTCTCACTGTATTAACTTATGTGTCTCCTAAATGACTCATAGATTATCTCATTAGGTCTATGGGGTTAATGCTACACTAAACCTCTCATCACTGGTAGCTGTGACTAATTTATTAGTAAGTTATGCCTTCCACTTGTACCCATAGCCCTTAAAAATGGTCTCAGAAGCAAAAGTTGCCACTCCAAGCCGAAGGCAACAAGCTGCATCATCACATCAACTGTGTTCACCTTTACCTTATCATTGCCCATATTTTAACTACCAGGATTAGACTACTCAGTTGCAGCAGCTATCTCGTGTCACTTTTAAGATGTCGATGTCTTGGTCTTGACTTTTTTTTATAACATCAGGTCAACTCAGCCACCACCAGCAACAAGCCAGTCTGTTTGGTGTGTGTCCCCGGGAGCTGGTTGGTACCTTCCACCTCCCTTTTCTAGGTGGCTAAAGGGTTAGAGTTTCAACAGGAATATATAACTAATTAATGGATTAATCTCTGTTATCGTATCCTTTTTTCTGTTACCTGGTACACATGGTAGGGTGGTACAGTACAGTAGGCACCTCTTCTAACAACACGCATTAAATTTAACGTTCAGTCCCTCATTTACTGGTGTTCTTTGATAATTATAATCTCTGATAACTTTCATTCCACAGGGAGACATGTTGGTTTACTTATGTCCAACCCATGTTTGTTGATAGGATTCAGAAAAAAACATCCATTGTAAAGCAGATGAATTATATATACTGTATGATCAAATGTTTCAGATCAGCAACCAGTGAAGAAGTTGCAAGCATCACCGGGGCCGCAGATGAAAGGTTTTCACGTGTGGGTACGTCACCAGCAGATCTTCACGGCATGTGGTATCCAACAGTCCGTCGCACACTCATGTGTCTCTTTAAACTCTATCGATGTGTTGATAGAAGTATATTCCAGGTACTGTAATGGTAATTTTTTTGTACCTGTAGCTCAAAAAGTTTGTAATACTGTACTGCTTATAGCAATATACATATTAATTTGGGGAAGTCCTAAAACTTAAAGCCTCTCTCTTCCTGAAGGTGACGCCTCATTTACTTGGGTAGAGTTTTCTTTACTTGTTATTTTACCTCACACCGATTAATTAATATTTTATAACGACAACTATTAAGTCCTTGATCTGGGATTAACCTGTTTGAAATTTGGCACAAAAGGCTACATAATTTATTCCCTTGTGCAGTAATGGAAGAATCTTTAGACCATGTCTACTGAGTCAGATCACTTAAGATCAAGACCCCCTTGTTCTGCACCCTCAAATTTATTCTAATGGCTTTAGCTGTGGTAAATTTCAATATATAAGGCACTTCTGCCTCAGAAATCTTGATTTTTTTTGTATATATTTATCATTTGTGAATGAATTGGCCTTCTGCTGCCAAATATCAATTTAAAGTGAAGATACAATTCCACAAGGGCATACTACAGTATTTTTCTTTACATAACAAAGTGAGAGAAGTGATATCAGAGTGGATGAAGCAAAGGGATACTTCCATTGAAAATGTAGCCACTTAATATTGTTGGTTATACCTAAAACAACTCCCAGGCTAACTAAAATAACTTGACATATTGATGGGTGATAATGATATGAATAAAAGTGTAAGTTGTTTTTTAACGTTGTTCAGATAATACGCTATACAGCACAGTACACTAGTAAATACGAAATGGTGGTTCATTAAAACACATACTGTAATATGGTTTATGTATATTCTTCTCCTTTTTCTTGTTGGAACAGGGTGTTTCATTGGAGGCACTAGCTGCGTGCATGCAGAGCCTGAGCCTTGCCTCTTCATCCATCAGCAAGACATCCTCACCCTTAGATGCTCAACTTTTTGAGATTAAACATCTCCTCATTCTTCGAGAACAAATGGCACCCTTTCAGGTCTGTCCAGGTGCTATGACTGAAATATGATCTACAATGATGGTTGACTAAGACACTTTGTTAAGCTTATAAAGGTGAAAGCTAAGGAGTTCTAATGGTTCTCCTGGCAGTGATAGATAAAGTCCAGGAAGCTGACAATAATCCTAATTTTTGATCGACAGTTTGCTGTCCCCTCAATGAGAGATATTTAATCATCTTGAATCTCTTGTTGTTGTTGTTAATAGGTTGATGCCTGCTTGCACGAGACCAGTTTAGACTGGAGTAAGGTCCGCACTGCAGCACTTGGCTTGATGCAGAAACGAGGTCGACTCTTTTCCTTATCCTCTACCAATGCTCTTCTAGAGTTCATTGTAGAAGGCACTCCACAGGTAAACATCTTTAATCATACCTTAAGGTTTTATGACTAGAAGTTTGCAGTGACAATCCTGTAATTACTTTGGTCAGATTTAAGCTATGAAAAGTGTCTCCACTTTCACATGAGCAAAGGAAGAATTGGGAAAGAAGGTACAAGTGGGAAAAAGTTTTACTACATGCATGTGAAGGATACTTTTGAAAAGAGTTATGACAAAGCCCCACTTTACATTCTCAAAGTGGCCCTGTTAGCACACCCTTGTCAGTAAGAGGAGGATGGCCACAATCTTGATATAGAAAACTGTAAGAGTTAAGTTTTAAAGTACACCTTTTCACATATCCGTTGAGATATTGTTACATAACTATTTGACAAATTTCATAACCGAATGACAGAACACATATCGAATGACAATCTAAAATAACTGTTCGTTCATGCTAACGGAAATGATTGACATAAGTTATGAAGTTGACAGACGTGAACAATAAACCGACAGTCTACATATAGTTTGAGAATGTAACAACAGGAGAATGACAGACCACCAACAGTTATTTTAGATTGTCATTCGAGATGTGTTACGTCATTCGGTTATGAAATTTGTCAAATAGTTATGTAACGATGTCTCAACGGATATGTGAAAAGGTGTACTGTATTTTTATTGGTTCATTACCAAAGCCTAAAGTGGAGTGTACCCACAGTTAGCTCTGTGGCTCATCTATCAATTGTTTTGCCACTGGAAGTTAGGAGTGTTAATGTAATGAAAGGGTTGATATTACTTGGTATCTCTCCTGATGTAAGAGAATGCCATACAATATCCCATGTTTTTAAGATTAATTACATTGTCTACATTTCAGGTGATGGAGCAGAGGCTGGACTCAAAGAGGGATCTAGATAATCGATTGAAAAAATTGTGTGAGCTTCTGATATTCACATGTACTGAAACCCTTTCCAGTCCATTGATAATGTTTCTAACAAAGGCTGAAGTTATACTGCAGATGAACCAGGAGGAGACTGTTAAACCCATCATGCTAAAGAATCAACCATTTGCTGTACCTGAGAAAGTGAGTTATGATTTTTATTGTACTTTGTGTTAGTGCCTCATGGATGGTCTTATTCGTGTGTGTTTTATAACCTTTTGTCAGTTGTAAAGCCTCGCTCACAGTATCTGTCGTGTATAATATGTACGGAACTGGCGGGAGAAATGTGATGTTGTGTGACAGTGAAACGGGACAGTTAAAAAAGATGCGAGTGGTGAGATATACTGTATGTGTAATGTGACATTGTCAGATAGGAAACCCTGTTCAAAACTAAGAGAATGGCTTGGTATTGAGAGAATTAGAGAGGTTGGCTGTGATGGTCCAGGCATGGAGGAGACCAACTGGGTCAAGAGATGAATGAGTATTAATGTGGAGAGAGATGAGCCGGGAGAATACCAAGAATGACACGGGGAGAGGGTGTAAGAAATGACCTCGGAGATAGGAACCTAACGAGAGAGGCTACTAGAGACTGATCAGCATAAAGAGCTGTCATTAGGAAACATGGTTAACCCTCTCAAACATGGAAAATGGTCTTAAAACAGTGATGATGACAGCCTCAGTCAGGAATCAATATTTAGTAGATGCAAATTTGACTAATGTACCCACAAGAATGAATGATCTGATTCAAATTGTTATACTGTGTGTCTTTACAGGTGGCCGATGTCATGAGCAGTTGTCAGAAGAATATTCGCACTCACTTACCAAACATTCAGCGCAGCATGCAGCTCTATCTGGCCAATCGCGATACAGAGTTTATCCTTTTCAAGCCCGTGCGTATAAATGTACTCGGTTCATTCTCCAGGGTCCAGAATATATTAGTCAATAATTACAGTGAGGATGACAGAATAATTATAGCTTGTCCATCTCAGGAGGAAGTCTCTGTTCTTCTCTCCTCCCTGTTTAAGAGCTAATGGTGCTAATGTATATATATATGTAGGATATATAATTAGTGGGGTTTAATACAACTTTATTTCTTTTGTAAGGATTTGAGTGATTAGAATCTTAATTATCAACATCATCTAAAGTTGGTATTTGTTATATCTGTATATAATTTTTTTTTATATTCCATAGCTAGACAAAATAGCTGGATGTATAAAGTTTGTGACATGGATAATCAAGAATATTGTAGTTTTGTTCCTTGTTAATTGATTTGTAGGTGGAAATGTAAGATTAGGTAAATCAATTATATATCTATGCAATATTTTTTCTTCTCATTATGTCATTTGAATAACAAGATACAGTATTCCCATGTATTGCATAATTGTTTTACCTGGTTTTAATATGCAATAATTCAAGTGTGTACTAAAAGTAAAAAATGAATTGCCTTATATCATGAAATCTTTAGTGTGTGTGGCACTTCCCTCACTCATCATGGTAGGAGGAAGCTACATTCTTGCCAAAGCATTTTGATTGCTTCAGAACTGGAATGAGTTTGTTGAACAGCTGTTTTTTTTTCTCTACCTAAGTTGCAACATAAATTGTATTGTAGTTGCAGTAAGGTTGTCTACATTCCATATCCCAAATTGTGTGTTAGGTGAAGTGTTCAGCCAGCTGTTCATCAGATATAATTAACCATTAATTTTCTTTTTAACTTTACCTTTGAATATCTTTTTAAAATTATTTGATTAATAGTTTATCATTTTATTCTTAGTCATATGAGTTACAGGAGAATGTGGTGTTCTGAGCACTTGTTTGTCTAATTTAAAGATGTGCTGTTTACTTTAATCAAATTAGTGTATCAGCGTATGATTAGGTGTGAGACTGATCACTGTTCTAATGTTCTTGAGGGTCTCAGACATAACATAGCATAGTTTCCTTTCCTGAGTATGTTGCATTGCACAAATTTATACTAAACTAAACTATGGCCAAATATTAGATATAAGCGAAACATGAAGCGTGAGTGACCTGATAATATCTTGGCAATGTAGGAGAGCTGCTTGTGGCTGTATTATAGCGAGTTTGTATGGCTTGGTTGTAAGGGAGTAAGTGCTCTTGTGTTTATGCATCATTAGGGTGTTGTAGATTCCAGTGTACAGTTCTTCACCCATTTTTTTATTTATATTGTTGTTTGTTGACTCAGAATATATTTATTTCTTTCAGTAACTGGTTTTGTATTTATTATCTCAAGTTTTGTTTGTGTCTTGTTGTCAAAGTGCCTTGAGTATGGTCTGTTAGGATCCTACAACATGCAGTTATACAGATAAGATGTTTCACTCATGAAGCCTTAATTACTTGCTATGACTTAATGACACTGATAATTAGAAATGTTGGCAAGGTTAAATGAACAACTAATATTGAATGACAAAAAAAAGTACTGACCATTTTGTGTCCTGTGATTTCCACAAAGTTGATCATAGTTCAGTCCATATCTACTTACCTAACCTTATTAACCCCTTCACTGCGGGGACACCACTTGGGTATTTTAATTAGCTAATGCAGACCATTTTATTTAGCTCAGAAGGGCTTAAGGATCCCAGATGTTAAGGCCATAACCTAAATACTAAACTTTTCTTATTATTAGTTGTGTGTTTGCAGGATGAGAAGTACAAGACTTTACTCTTTCCAAAACTTGCTGGATGGGTAAGTATTTTAACCCAATAAGAGAAGAGACTACAATACTTAATAGGAATGAATAAAACTAAATGTTGATTGAATATACTGCTAGCTCTCTCCTTGTTCCTATGATGGGATGTATGGAGAAGAATAGCTGAAGGTATTCTCTTAAAATGGACCATTATATGGGAATATATTTGTGATCAACTCTTCCCAGACTCGGTGCCTGTAGTGGATGAGTGGTGTCACTAGTGCCCTGAGTGAGGCATCTCTTCCTCTCTCAACCCAAATTTAACCAGTTGAAAAATTCCTCCCAACAGATCTGAAAATTAATAAATAAATTTGTGGTCTCAAAATCTTAAAAAAAAAAATAGAACTGAAAAGGAGATGTCAAGACCTGTACTGTTGGCTGATATTACTTTCAGATTATGCCAACAATTCTACAAGGATTGGTAACATTTACTGTAATCTAATTTCATTTATAAAGTATAATAAAAAGAGTTCATTAATTACACTGTTTATTCAATATCGTAATGCTGGTTAAAGATATAAATTAAACATGAATAATTTATCATACATACAGTAAACTTATCATTCTTGCAGTGATAGGCTTTAACAGTTAATGTACCAATGTTCACACTAATATTTCTCACAACTTTATGTACACTATATCACCGAGACAACAATATTAATTAAATTTTATACAAGAAATTCAATAACACTGGACTTTAAACAACTACGTTACTTATTAACAAATCAAATATGCATAAACAGAATTTTCTGGTCATACTTTATCTAGCTGCAAATTTTAATAATGAATTGTTAATGAAGATAATAACAATTTTCTGTACTAATATGAATAAAAGGAAAACTAACAATTCCTAACAGAGATATATTGTAGCAAAACATATTCATAACAGTCTATGTAAGTGTGAGGTTGTAACGCACTACTTGAGGTACGTATCTACATTTAAGAAATCTCAAAGTGAGTATTGTACAGTAGTGTATTCAAACCATTTCATCATCTCTTGCATAATCTTCATATTTATCAACTAATAACTGTGAATATTTACGAAGCTTAACTGAAACCTTATCTGAATCCTCCTCGTACTTCCCCACCTTCACGATAACAACACGAGAAATATTCAGGAAATCTGGGTTAACGCTGGATGGTCCTTTCACTACATCCACTTCATCTCCTTCATGTAACTGAAACAATATTTTCATAATAAGCAATCAGTGTTGTAGAGAACATGTATTGTTATATACAGTACCATACATACAGCCATTATTGTACACTTCAATATGTATACTCACTCTAAAAAGTATCTTTACGATTTTGTGTGAGGTAATACGACACAACGGAGGAATGATTATGACAACCCTACCGAGACGACAGGAGTCACAGTGTTCGTTTTGGAATTTATCAGATCTTCCGTTAAGATACATTTTGAAGTGAGTGCTTACCTGAGGCACACATCATGCAGTAAAGTCTTCAAACTAGATGTGGATGAGAGAAAAAATAATCATACAATACCTGTTTGCTCTTTTTCAATATTTTACTGCCATTAACACGAATTTTGCTTCCATAAAATGCTGCTTCCACTTTACTGAAATAAAATACATAAAAGGAAATTGTATTAATTCATATTTATATAATATAGGGAAGCATATTGCCTCAAACAATATATTCACCCTTAAAACAATATATTGCCCCTTTTTTTTCAATTTTTATTCCATTATAACATACATAATTGGCCCTAAACGTACTTTCGGGACATGCCCAGCCCAGCTTTCAAAATTGCGTCCATTCGAAGAGACGGCACTCGAGCTTTTATGTCCCTGAAATCTTTTCCAGACTCCAACTCCATATCATCATCCTCACTCTCGTCATCATCTGAAAACTGGTGAGAAAAAAAGTTTATCAGGGCTTCATTGACCCTTACCAAGAGCTTTAAATGTAGAGAATCAAACCATTTCATATGCAGTATATTAAAAAATATACAACTTTTCCCTCAATGAATTCTGCACCACTACACAAGGTGCCATTAATTCATAATTAACCTTATATAAGCATCTAATTGGGAAGACAAAAATCACAAAACTGATTATGATAAGTAAATTAAGAGTTCATTCTTCACATATGTAACAAATTCTACACCTATATTCATCTTGCATAAGTTGACATAGCCTGACTGGCATAAGAGCTGTCAATTTATAGTTATATCTCACATGAGTGATATGTTACCTCCTCTTGTCCACGCGTGCCCCTCTTCCCGCTCTTCCCCTTCGACTTATTCCTTGTGGCCAAGACCATACATGGGGTTTTCAAAGTCAGCACGTTAATGGGTGTTAGCTCGTCACTGAAGCTCCTCCTGAGATATGTGTTGGTCAGCGATGATAAATTCCTTGACGGTGAAAATGGACTGTTGAGTGAACTTTCCTCCCTGGTGTAGCCACTTCCATACAGCCCATAGCAGTCATTTCTCTTTGTTGTAATTAAATTTTTTGGGAAACACATTTGACTAAGACCACGGGGGTTTACACTTCTTTTTGTATATTCACGGATGATAATATTGTTGTTTCTGATATACTGTAAAACACAAACATTATTTACAACACAGAGAGCCATTGTTGATGTCTACCAACCAGCTGTTCAACTCAACTATATATTTATCATGTCCGTCCTCATTTATTCAAGTTTTTTATTATTATTTTAGAGTTTAATATCTTGATGGTGTACAGACCTTGATTTTCTTATAGATATTTCATTTATATAACATGAGTACAACAATACTAAAGGGTACAACAATAGGTGGTCAGTGTACGATAAACCTTGTTGTCATTACTGTTTACTACATGGTGCGGCACGAGTGACTGCGGCTGCGTGCGGTACTAGTGACTGTGGCTGCGGCAAGACTAGACTGACAGAAGTGAGGGAGAACCTGTCTTTTAATCATGCCTACTGTCTCTGTTAACCGAGATGCACTCTTTAAGGCTCTTGGTAAAACATATTGTAAGTATTTTAACTCTTGATGTTGTTTAAAGATTTGTCACTTATAAACACCATATGCTATACCAGGTGTCTGATGCAATGCTCTACTATGGTAACTTAATGTTTATCAGTAATTATTATCATATATTTTGGTTATTAATATCATGGAGTGTCATAAGTTACTTTATATAGACATTGTAGATAACAGTATTGACCCCTTGCATGAGTACTGATCTGCCATTCCATGTAAACTTAACCTAACCTAACCTGGTACTTCCATCCTAGGGTAAGTAGTTTAAGTAAATTTTATTGATTCATCTACAAAATTAATATGTGTAACTAAACTACTGTATATATTATAATTACTTTTCAGTACAGATGGGAATTCTATGGTACAGTATTATCGTTTCAGTCATCCGGGGAATCTTAGGAGGTTAAGTTAGGTTAGGTTATAGTTTTTGGATTATGTGGCTGGGTTGGTTAGGTTAGGTAAGATCAAAATCATTTAAAACACGTCAAAAACTGCCGGGAAAAACATAGGGATGACCGAAACGATAATTTTACCGATTCTACGATTGTTTCTTACATTTTTGCTTAATTTTGTTTCTACAGCGGATGAAGAATTTGATGAGCTGTGCTTCCAGTATGGGTTGGAGGTAGATGACATAGTTGATGAGCCGGAGAAAGGAATCACGTACAAGATTGAAGTTGGAGCTAATCGTTATGACCTTTTGTGTATCGAGGGAATTGCCCGTTCTCTGTCGGTGTACTTGGGGAAGGAGTCTCAACCCAACTATCGTGTGTTGCCGCCCAAGGAACCAGAGAATTACAAGCTCATAGTGAAGCCTTCAACTAGCCAGGTATGAGAGTTATGAGCTTATTACTTCATGCTGTTAAAGACCAATGAATCAGTGGAATAATATTTTTATTTGATAAGCTCTTGTGAGTTATAATTATGCATTGAATGAACACATACTAGTCTTGCCTCTCCCATTGCATCAATTATTCATATGTCTTATATTGTATATTTACTTGTCACGTGTAAAGTATACAGTATTTGGACTTAGTTTAAAGGAAAATTCTGTAGCTAGACAAGAGTACGGTTAGATTATGAGGTTGTAATAAACATTCATTGAGTTATCAGTTAATGGTACTTTAGTTCACTGGAGGTTGTTAAGTACTGTACTGTATCTAGTTTACCTTATAAAACCTTCTGACTGCTTGGTAGTAATACTGTACCAAATTCAGATTAATGAGTAGTATAGAAAACACAGGTTTGTGACTGGCTGGTTGTCCTTTTTTAGGTCGTGAAGTTGCGTTGTGTAATAGCTTATTAATGAACAGACTTGTAAACTTTTGTTACTCAAAGATTTGACGTGATAAATCTCTGCAGGTGCGTCCATACGTGGTTGGAGCCGTCTTAAGGAATATAAAATTCACTCAGGCCGTATATGATTCTTTCATAGATCTACAGGACAAGCTGCATCAGAACCTGGCCCGTAAACGTACCTTAGTAGCAATTGGTAAGTAACTATCAAGCTTGCAGTTTATATTACAAAATCATGTGTAAACAGCTTTAAAAAAGGTATTAATGAGACCCAAACTTCCCTTAACCAGCCTCAACATTCTCAGGGTACAGCACAGTTCAGTACACCTTTGTTACTTCACCTCTTTTAACTTTGCCAATGGTTTTATTTTCTTATTTTAAAGTGCCCTGAAATTGTTTGTTTTGTTTCCACACTATGCACCCTCCTCCCCCGTGGCTAATTTTGAGGTGGGTGACATTGAAGGCTGGTTTGTTGTGATTCATCAATAGAATGTGTAATGCTAATGTAGCAGTAGAGTGCCTTTACAGTGCTTAATTGTAGAGGAAAGATGAGACTTGTCAATTGATTAGTCTTAGTTGCCTTTTCAAGAGGTTAATCTGGGTTTTAGCTCAGTAGGCTTAGTTTGTTGCATGCTGCTCTGTCTAGCCTTTGTCATAAAATGGGATTTCAGAATCATTATAATTTTCTTAAAAATCTTAATTTTTATTCATAACCTGCTATTTCATTTTTAAAGTTTCATTTCAGTCTGTGATGATATACATAGAGTATTTGGTTATCTTTAGGCACGTACTATCTGGCAGATATTAAAATGATAATATTTTATTTATTTTATAGGCACCCATGATTTAGACACCATCATAGGACCTTTTATATATGATGCAAGACCACCACAAGACATTTCATTTGTGCCTTTGAACCAGACTCAAGCTTATAGAGCGGACAAACTTCTGGAAATGTACTCATGTGATTCACATCTTAAGGAATATGTACCCATTATAAAGGTTAGTTATTTTGTAAAGTTTGTTATCATGAATCATGCTCACTATTAGATCTTAGGAGTGATGTTTATTTACTTAAATGTTGAGGCCATTCCACTCCATATTCTCACTTAAGTCTGTATCTACATTATCCAAAAGCAGTACTGTATTGTCTTTAATTTTTAAGGGTTTTTTATGTAAGTAAATTAATTTTAAAAGTATTTTGTATGAAATTTATTGTCTTAATATCCTTCATGTATCATTGCCTATACCATTGAGGCGGCTTGTATGTTTCTATAGCATGAACAGTCGCCATGTTTAAGAACTGTGTGAGGGATAATGGTGTGGCAGACCTCTGTGGTGGGAGGGAGGTGGAGCTAACCTAAGAAAGATCTTCCATTTCTTTAGATCCTTCATATTTCTCATGAGATTCTTAATATCCTTCATCCTTGACCACAACATTAACAGGTCCCTTAGGTAATTTTCCTCAATATAACCAGCATCTTGTGCAATCCCACACAATTTTACCTTTCAGTTTTAATTACTCTGCTTGATCTAATTTTTTTCTTTGCAGGACAAACCTGTGTATCCAGTAATAACTGACCAGAAGGGGGTTGTGTTGTCCCTGCCACCCATCATCAATGGTAACCACTCCAAGATTACTCTAAATACACGTAATGTTTTCATCGAGTGTACTGCTACTGATCGTTACAAGGCTCAGATTGTATTGGACACTCTTGTGTGTATGTTCTCAGGTTACTGTGACCAACCTTACACTGCCGAGTCTGTTCAGGTACAGTAATTTATTTTTACTTCTCATTACAGTATTGTGGTTTAGCTTTTCATGTAAGTATACTGTACAGCAGACTACAGTGTAATGAGCATATAATATCAAGGTTCATTTCTTTTATGTTGAGCACTACAGGATTTTTTATTTGTAAAGTGAAATGTTGCTTTTGGGGAAATAAAATGTAAGGTCCTGTTATTATAATGCAGTTTGTAGGGTTTATTAGGCATTTTTCTTTTTATTCATTACATGTGACTAACAGAGGAGATAATGGAAATTTGCTGATGGAAATACTGGTATGTTTTTGTTTTCATATTAAAGAAAATAGATTCCATATTGGTGTGAGGTAATGTGGTAGTGTTTACATAGGAAGAAGAAACGTACATGAAGTTTGATAATATAGCTAGAGAGGTTATGTATGTGTACAGTAGTATAATCAAACTCCTACATGGATAGAATTGTATTTTAGGTTGAATATCCTGATGGAGAGAAGGTCCAGTACCCAAAACTGCAGTACCGTCAGCAAGTGGCGTCTGTTTCTTATTGCAACATATTGGCCGGAGTGAGTGAAAAGGCAGAGGACATTGCAAAAATGCTTACCTCGATGAGTCTTTCAGCTGATCCCGATGGCCAGGACAAAGTTGTGGTTAAGGTGCCTCCAACTAGGTATGCAAATGTTTTCTTGTTTGTCCAAAAAAATTTAATTATAAAAAATGGGAAGAAGTATTTTAGTGAGGTCTCGGTAATTTGTGGGTACCTCTATTACTACCTCTTAATGTGACTTGGGTGCTTCAGTGTGACTTAGAAATAAAGGAAATATAAAACTATAAAATAAGAAAAATTAAAAGTAGTACATAAGTGAATTTTTGTGGGATTCAGGGCAGTTGTCTGGTGTAATGGACATATGGGAATCTTTCAGAGGGTATAATAGGCAGGTACCTATGGCCAAGTAGTTTAGTGGGACCAGTTATGTAGTATTATTTCAGCCTATTTCCCATTAAGAGTGATAACATAGCAGGTTTGAGTAAGATGAAATGGTGAGGTGCAGAGGTCCCTATTCAGAGCTAAGTGAGGTAGACTGAGATGATTTGCAGAGAATTGATGAAACCATTTGTGTAGAGAATGATGAATTTATAGTATTTTAGTGGGATCATAAACCACTTTTGTAATCTGTCTGGTGTTTTTATATGTACAGTACAGTATGTATATATTTTTATTACCAGGTATGATGTTCTTCATGAGTGTGACATAGCTGAAGACTTTGCTGTAGCTTATGGGTTTGACCGGTTGGCAGCTGACATGCAGATGCCCCCTACAAATACCATTGGCCAGGAATTTGAACTGAACTATCTCAGTGATAAATTGAGGCTATTGATGTCTCAGAATAACTACACAGAAGTTGCCACTTTCTCCTTATATTCAAAGGTAAGGAAAGTTTGATTAGTGCTGTACTGTACCTGTACTTGATTCATGTTACTCTCTTATACCCCAACAATCTACTGTTGTCCCCTAAACCTGGAAGTGAGAATTATAAATGCCAGATATGGTTGGTTTAACTTTAGGGTCTAGTTTTAGGATTTTAGTATACGGTAGTGATAACAATGCATATGTACTGTGACACTACAGGTGATGCTGTAATGTCTTAAATATTACATGCCTGTTTTTATTTCATTGAAGAATTAAACTAAAAAAAAAATAACCTGGATTAATTTGATATTTATCCATACAAAATTTTTAGCACCAAGCATAATGATATTTGGGCTATCATTGAAGACCACAGAGTTGTTTGTATTATTTCACACCTTTTCTCCCCATCTATTTAAGGTGACCATGGGAGACTGTCCATTGATGTTAATTTTACCTCATTATTTTCAGATGGATATGGGGGAAAGAATGAGGGTTAACCTAGATAATGAATCGTGGGTTAAAGTTGCCAACCCCAAAACCACAGAGTGCGAGGCTGTGAGAATTAGCCTTTTACCCGGGTTAATGAAAACTTTAGCGGCTAACAAGCACATCTCTCTACCTCTGAAGTTATTTGAGGTATCTATATAAACCATTGCTTTTGTTGATATAAATTATGATACAGTATATTTAAGTAGTCCCAAAATAGTGTGACCTGGATTGATAAAATTAATATATTTTCTGTACATTTATGTTGGTCTGAGTTAGTGGTTCATACTCATGTTTTAAATGACTTAGGATTATACATGTTATCTCATGAATTGATCAGGAGTATAGTTTATTTTTAAAGTATACTGTGGTTGTATTTCTTATTATTATTATCATGAAGATTTATAGTACATAGCTGATGGTAAACACTTAAATTACAGTTGTCTTTTACTCATAAACTTAAATACATACAGACATAACAGTAATGTATAGGGAAATTTGCCTTGCAGGTCGCTGATGTAGTGTTTCGTGACAGTTGCCCCACTACAACTAGAGGTACTGGGGCCCGTAATGAACGACACCTGTGTGCCATTAACTACAACGTTAAAGCTGGTATAGAAATAGTTCAGGGTCTCTTGGACAATATAATGATTGCTCTCAAGGTCCCTTTCACTCCTGACAACAGCGCACAGGGATATTATCTAGAAGGCAAAGACCGTAAGTACTAGATTTACATTTCCTTCTGGTTTGTGTGTTTCTTAATCGTTTAAATAAATACTAATTAATTTTACATATTTGTTTATCTTTTGCTGTGATTAGGTGTGAATTTAATATGTATTTGTATTAATTATAATGCTACAGGCTGTCTAAAATTATTGGCATGACTTTATCCGTTAAACATCTGGGTACAATGTCATTATACTGTTTAACGGCTGTGATAGGAGGAATTATGCAGTACCAGTCGTTAATATTGAGGATTTATCTGTGTTGTTACTAGCACTTATTAGGCACTCAGCATAATTCTCCTTGTTATTAAGCGAGTCATAATATGGGATTTTCAAGGGAAGTTCATCATTACACTGTCAGTATCTTAGTTTGCTCGTAGTGATACTGTATTTTTTTCCACTGCTTAATCATAGACTAGTCTTTCTTTTAATAGGCTTATACTGTAGTTTAACATCCACATTGAAAGCTTATAAATAGATCTTAAGGTTTTGTGTATTTGATGCTTGCCGAGGCTGTACGATCATCTCGGTCTTTTCAGGCAAAAATCTTCCATCTACAAAGTTTTTCTTATCTTTTTCTGTGCCTCTTTTCTACAATATACCAATAGATCTTTTTCATGAGAGACTTTTTTATATATAGCCTGTAAGTGAAAGCTGTTTGTTAAAAGAAAATACTTAATTATGATCTTTTTTTCTCAGATCCAAGTTATTTCCCTGGATTCTGTGGCAATGTGATAGTCAATGATGTGGCTGTTGGCCAGATAGGACTCATCCACCCAGAGGTTATCACCAACTTCAACCTCAACAATCCTGCTGCTGCTTTTGAAATTAATATTGAGAAAGTTTTAGAAATCACAAATTTTGGGCATTGATTATAAAACTGTGTCATAATTCTCCATATTGTATCTATATTTTGTCAAGTAAAATAACTTTTGTGTGTTGAAACTACAGTACTGTTGTGGATGTTGAACTTATCAAAGTAATTTTGTGGATTAGCTTCATAGTGTTAATGACCACTAGTAGTTGAAGACCTCATGAGTTTGTTTAGGAAATTTACTGAAAATTTCTGTTTTTTTTTCATTTGACTCACAGATAAAGGAAGTAATTATTATTGATTCACATGAAAAAAAGCCTTACAAGATCGCACAGGATACCTTGGCAATACTGTACTACTGTATACCGTGGGATATGTACAGTAGAAGTAAAGGAACATGAAAATTTGTGTAAGGCAGAAGGAAATATAATGTAAATGGAAATATAATACTTCTGATACATACTGCACTGTGAATGTTGGGAAAATATGACGATTGTATTGTTGAGGCAAGAATGTAAAAAACATTACCGTTACTGTGTACGTGATTACCAGGGCTATGCAATATAAAATAATATTAAAATTTGTTCTTTTTAAATATCCTTATCATCGTTGTTTTATGGCCGTTTTTCACACTTGCATGACTTAAGCCGCAGCAGCTCTTCTTGTTGCACTCATATCTCTACCCTTGTAAGTATTCTTGATTACATTCTTCTTCCAACCGTCTCAAATGGTACATTCCATCCAATACTTTCAGCATTTTTATACCAGTCCCAGAGCTTCCAACTGTCTTCCCATTTTTCTTCATTATCAACAATCAGCATCCATGTTTCTACCCACTATATGCCTGGTTATTCTGAAGACCTCTCATCTTCCAGTCCTTATACTGTGCAGTCTCTATCCGTGTGAGTCTATCCTCTTACTCCACCACTGTACTAACACAGTCTTATGCAGGGCAATTTAAGACAAAATTTCACACTAACCTTGATGCAACACCAGTTAGGAGGCTACAACTACCCCATTGAATTGAGCTGGTCCGTAACAACCAGTGATGGAACTCTTTCGTTTAACAAGATGGAAGAAAAACATAAGATATACTACAACAAGGATGAACAAATGTAAATTGAGCTGAAGAGGATCAAGGAGAAATAAATGTGGGTGGGTATAGTTGACAGCCAGTTGTCCCAAGCTTCAGAGTGGCATCATATGGAAAGGATATTTTGCACAGTTATAGAAGGTCCTCACTCCTGTGTTTGGATCCATAATACTATATATCATATGTCTTAAACATGAACCTGTCTTCAACTATTTTAAATAAGTTTGTTAGTCTGAGACGTTCTTCCAGCAAGACATCTTTCTGAGTTATGTTTCCTTTTGTATGTAGCAATTGATTTTAATATTTAGTTTTAGATATACTAAATAGAAGACCTGCAAAATATACTGTACTGTACTGTGGCAGTGCATATGCCTCTCACTACTGCGCCTCCAGTTCAATCCACAATCTAGTTTTTCTGGGTATTCCGATTTCTTCCTGTACTAACCCTGGGCAATAATGGGGTATTTTATATTAGTGCACAGTTCTATCTAACGTAAACTAATGAGGGGGGCTCTGACCCCCTGATTAGGTTAGGTTGGTTTTTGGTGATTTTCTGTTTTTTTAATATTTATAATACCCAAAGAAAGAATGGTGTTCTACTATAAATTGACCAATAATGGCCCTAACAAAGAACAGACTGACCGCCCAAACGTTTAATAAACTAACAATTAGTGGAAATGATAGATTAAAAATGAAAGAAAGAGTTACTCCTAGGCATTCATAGAAAACGGGATTTCACCACAACAATATTCTTGCGTTCATAGAAAGCAAATCAATGAAAATATGTTAAAAGAGTAAATGTCAGCAAATTTAAATATATAAAACTTATTAAAGTATTTTTAATAAATATAGTACCATATATTAAGTGACAGAAACAGTCATGACATCAGTTTATGAGTCAGTAATCAGTAGGTTATATCACCGATGAACGCCTCGATACAAGACCAAGGACGCCATTACGCTGTAGACTCACACTCCACTGATACTCCTTGACTATCATACAAATATTGGTTGATTTTAGAAGAAATCATAAGTAAGTATGGCATTTATTATTAATATATATTATAATGCAAACTTTGGCATAAGTTGAAGAATAATCAGCATGTATATTAAGCTAAATAAGACGAGAGTTGACTGTGTTGACCCTGAGTAACTGAACCTCTCCGTCCAATACTTGTATCAGTGTGTCCATGGTGCTCATACTACATCCTCAATACTGTAATTGGTAGCTTTATCTATTAAGCATCGGTCGTGACTGTGACTGTAATTGGTAGTTTTATCTATTAAGCATCGGTCGTGACTGTAATTGGTAGTTTTATCTATTAAGCATCGGTCGTGACTGTGACTGTAATTGGTAGTTTTATCTATTAAGCATCGGTCGTGACTGTGACTGTAATTGGTAGTTTTATCTATTAAGCATTGGTCGTGACTGTAATCTATGTGTACACTTCATGTTGACCTCTTGTGTAAGTACTAACCATCGTGTGCAGGTTTTGGGTAACTAATAATAAAAATTAATTAGTAATTGTTTGATGGTAAAGCCTTTTTATAGTTTTGGATTTTTAAATGTTAGGTCAGGTCTTTAAAGGTTTGATTGGTGTTATTTTTAGTATTTTACCTCACATTTTTCCTCGACTTCAAAGCCCTGCCCACTTAAAACAAGTACATGTAATATTATTGGTAATTTTATCAGTTTAAAATACTCAAAAAATGCTGAATATGGTGGTTTTGACGATAGTTTGGCAATTCTGATCGAACTACTCAGTGAATCTTCTTTTGTGATAAGAATTCTTCCTGTAATTTATGCTGAATGTGTGTTTAATGTTTTGTTTACGCTGACAGACTGACTGAACGTTGGTACTGGAGTTAGAGATGTCGACCCGTCCTCACGCAAGGGGTCATCGGGGTGGTGGACGAGGGGGGTATGGTCAGCGGGGAGGGGGCGGCCACTGGGCTGGTCATCGTGGAGGTCATCGAGGCGGAAGATCGGAGTACTATCAACAAAACCACGGGGTCAGGTCACCTCGACCCTTCCAGCGGCAGCCCGATCCAGAGAAACTGTTTGCTTCACTGGGACCTGATGCTCAACTGGCTCTTACAACAGCAATTATCAATTCTGTGCTAAAAACTTCCGTGAGTATATATATGTGAGACGAGAAGTTTACATATTGTTAATAATTTGTAAGTTTTCTTTTACCTGTAAGTCTGTATTTAATCAGGTTCATATGCTCCAGGAGAGTGGCTAGTACTTACAGTATTGGAATTCAGTTGTCTGATATTTAGAGAATTTCTTACATTATCTATCAGTTTATTTGGTCTTAATATGTGAGTCACATTGCAGTTGTTAAGCGAGAATATTAATGTGATAAATAGTAAAGATATGAAGACTTAGTTTACGATGTCAAGATATGCTCGTCTAATACAAAGTCGTTACGTAGGAGGATAAAGAGGGACGTGGCTCATTCCGGGAGAACCGTGACCTAAACTACCGTCATCAGAGGGATAATCGCCGTGAAGGCCGGGGAGGCTATTACAGGGTAAGTCTCTACAGTGTGTGAGATTAATTTTTTCAAGAGATTAATTTTGGGAGGCTTTCATTAGTTAGCAATTAGGATATAATTAACCCTATGTTATTATGAAACTTGCATATCTACCTTGTGTGGGGTAATTATGATGTTTTTAATAAGATGAAGTTTATTGTATTGGAAAGCTATTTGAGATTTTTTAATCATTAATAATTATTAGGGTTTAGTATTTCTTAAATAATATTAAGATTTCATTGGTGAAAGTCGATACTCCTAGAGTCCACATAATAAAAAAGAAGAGAAGTTGACCATAAATTAATGACATATTAAAAGATTTCACATTGAAGCTCATATGGAAGCACTCCTATCACTCACCACTGTTAACTGGAACCTAAACCCTCAAATGAGAGTGTAACTAAAGATTGCTTGCTGAAAATATAAATGTAGAAAATGTGGGGCTATTTGTCTCTTTGAAAGATATACCAATCAGTATTGAGAAAAAATAACTTACTGTGTCAGATCTTGGAAGATATGGCAGCCTCACTAAAGAGATTACAAGCTGCTAAAATCCCAATAGCCTGTGTAATTTGTGAATGGGATTTCCCAGTTACCCATTAGGGTGCTGACAACAACAATATTCTAATTGGACTTGGGTAGCATTCCAAGATTCAAAATTGATGTTATCAGAGATGCAGCCCTGTGCATTCTAGGCACTTAGATGTAGTATTTACTTAATTACATTGTTTGGAGGTTATCATTAGCCAGCCACCAGGCAGTGCCTTAGGCTGATGTGATGAACCTCAAGCCGTGAGTCTCATTCATTCAGGAGGAGATGCGACCGCGCAGACAATATGCTGAGGCCCGCAGATATGAAACCAGGTGGTACAACGAGGAGGGGCGGGGCCATCACTATGAACGAGAGAAACCCTCTGCTGGCCCCCCTCGCTACCGATATGGCAACAGATACCCTGGCCCATCCAAGAGGCGGCCCTCACCCCACGGCCACCCTGGGCCTACATACAAGCGACAGAGGTAAACACCACGGAAAGAACGTGTCATGATTTAAATGAGTTTCTGATTCTTCCAGCAATGAAGGAAGCAAGTAGTGAATTTAATATGGAACAGTGTACAGTACCTATTGTGGATGCGAAAGGCTAATCATCACAAGCCAACAAGAATGGAGAATCCACCTCATGAAACTTTGACCAGCTTGTATGTCAGGAAATATAAAGTGATTTGATATGTGAATGTGTATGTATATATACAGGTATACATATATGTATATATATATTGATATGTGTATGTATATTATGTATGTATGTATATGCATATATATTTATATTAATGCATGTATATACGTATAAGTTTGGAGGGGTTGCACATGATATTACAAATTACATGAATTGTTTTGGACTGCTAAGTAAGATAGTGTGACCACACACTCATGAACTTACCATAACATATATGTCACCTGGTACTCATCATGGTATTTTTGTACTAAAGTGTAATAACAGGCAATGGGTAGTAGAGGGGGATGGTATTTTGGTGTTTTCCTGTGAGTAAAGAGTGACAGGCGTGATAATGTAATTAACTGAAAAATATATAGATGCCACATTGAAATAGAAAACTGCAGGGAAGAACACTGGAGAAATAGTTCCACGGTCGGATGCTTTCGGCTGTCAGTAAATGTATACGGCAATTTAGTTTACTTTGGTCTGTGATCTTTTAAAACCTGCAGATATGGATTTCTATAGTACAGTAGTACAGTTCTGCACCACATGCTTGGACATGGTATTGGTTTGGAAGAGTCCTGGTACATGGATGTGTAGGTATGCTCATTTAAGCACTCTTATCCCTACCTAAATGTATTTCAAGAGTCTGACAGTAAAATTAGACTCTACTTCTGGTGTTTCCTACTACTGTGCCTCTAGGGGTCATTGTTGGGAAAAAAGATAATTGTAGGTAACTTTTCTCTGCTCAGATTTCTACCTTGTCACATAATAATGAATCAGGTGATGGGAAAAATGAGGATGGAATTTGTCTCATCCATACTGCCTCAACTTGGTGTCATTGACGACTTAAGCCATTCGTGTGAGAGAGGTGAGGTCGGGCTAGAAGTTCTTATTGTTCCATTACTGTGACTTAGCTTCAAGATAAAACCGAGATCATTGATTAGGAGTTACATTGGGATATTGGTGTGAAAAATTGAGTAGGACACATCCCTATACCAGGAGGCATTGACACTTGCATACAGATTGTGTCTGATCAAGCTAAACATGGGGAATTAATTTTGTTCAGCTTTCTAAATCATCCATATATTTTCTGATTGCTGAGAACATTTTACAGCCAATGGTGCAGTAGCAATAGTGGTCCCTGTAACAGTATGTTAGCTTACCAATTCTGCATAAATAAGAGCAATTAAACCATTTGGAGGCTTAGTTACAGAATCCACCTGTCACTGAAGGTCGCTCCTCAATATCAAGAGCCCAGTGTACCTACAGAGAGTGTTTATATAGTAAGGGGTTCAGGGGACACAAGTGTAATTATTAATGATTTGAGACTTAGAAATTATTAACCATTTGGAAATTAATCATGTTCGTTATTGTCTTTTTTAGTTTTATGCATTGGTTCATAATTACATTCTAGTTCAGTATTCAGGGGAAGAGTTTGATGATTTCCTTTGTTCATATCCACTTTTGTTTATAGATTTGAAGACCTGAAAGAAATAAGCAAAATTTTGTAAAGGAAGAAAATGCCAAGTAAATACCAGAGAGGGTTAAGGTAAGCTGTTACTTTAAGCTTAACGCGGTGTTTGCGTGGGACGCTGGACTATTTTATTTTGCAAAAAGAAGACCCATGCACAATGGGGTTAATCTTATATTAATGAGACGTTACTAAATTTCATAGGATCCCGAGATAAGTCGAATGTTGTGTAACTGCCATCAACTGGTACTGTATTTTGTTCATGGCCAAGTGGATCTACGTTAAAATAACCAACACTTATTTAATCTAACTGTTCAAGATGCATTTATTATACTTAGAGCAAAAAAGGTAATATAAGTCAAAGTAGAATTAAAGGCAACGAGTTAATAATAGACACGTACGACTTTGATGAAGTGGTGCCGGGTATCTCGCCGCAAATCAGTTTATGCTTGATCTATAGAACGTAACCTAATGTAACTCATCTTTTGCTTACATCAGGACAACATTATCCCACTTTTGTTCAAGGTTTTGTCAACTCATAATCAGTTTTAAGACAAAGTAAAAAAAAATTGAACTGAGGAAGATCATTCTTTCCCTTTGGACGATGAAATGGAATGTAGCTTACAGTTTGGTGTTCATTTTCTTAGTTGTAAAATTTGTGACCCTCTTGCATTTAACTGCCTGTTTTTAATTAGGGGAAAGTTAAAAGACTACTGTCCTTCAGTATCTAAATACAGTAATATGTACACGGTATGTCTGTTAGCCGGGATCCCTCACACCCGGAACTCTCCGATAGCCGGAATTGAAATTTTCTCTGAAAATTTCCGGAAAATTCTGCAAAAAATTTCCCGATACCTGGAAAATTCCGGGGATGGGAGATTTTTTCCGTATTTGAGAGAGTCGCCTCGTTACCCGGAAACCTCTCATTCCCGGAAGTGCTCTGCACCAATTGTTCCGGCTAACAGAGATATCACTACCTGGTTAAGTTTTTACAGTAAAATAAACTTAAATATATGTAAACTTGCTTAACCAAACACTACATATATGTAATTGATTAAATAACAAAGTGAATCTATGTATATATTACTGTACCATACATCATGAATGTTATTTGTAATAATTGGGATATGTTGCCCTGGGGTTGAAAAAGCAACATGTTCTTCACAATACAGTGCAGCAAAAAAGTAATGGAAGGCATCCAAATTCACATGAGCCTTTAGTGTTTGGGTAATAAAACCTTCCTGGCAGTATTTATGTCTGGGGAGGTAAACTCAAGAGTTTTTTGTCACAAATTTGAATTACTACCCTTTAATTTTCTTCAATATCTCCATTAGCCGGAATCCCTCAAACCCAGAACTCTCCAATAGCCGGAATTGAAATTTTCTCGGGAAAATCATTCCCAAAGTCAGATTTTCCGAAAAATTCTGTCTTTGGGAACGATTTTCCGAGGGGCACATTTTCTGGAAAAATACGAGTAAGTTTTTCCAGTACCCAGAAAATTCCGGGGATGGGGCAGTTTTTTTCGGGGTCGAGAGACGATGTAAAGTGCAATTTCTGGAACTGACGAGAACATTTTTCCGTTACCTGGAATATTCTGGGGATAAGGGTTCTTCTGGCTTTGAGAGAGCCATCTCGTTATCCAGAAATCTCTCATTCCCGGAAATGCCCTGCACCAATTGTTCCGGCTAACAGAGATATATCGCTGTACAGCTGCGTACATTTAAACAAAAATTTAATTCTGTATAATGAAGTTTTGTTGCCTTCTTAACTGCTTAATGTAATCATGCACATTTTTTTTTAATATTTCTTTTAAGTTTAGTGGGACATTTGAGGAACTTAGCATCCAAAACAAAATGTAAACAAATACCACATGTTTTTTGTAATGTCATTGGAACCCCTGTATGTATATACACAATTAGTGCTCAGGCACATACACAGTGAACCTAAAGGCTGACACTAAAGAAGACTATACAGTACTCCTAATAGTTGAGAAAAAACTAAGGAAATCTACTTCAGCATCAGAACAATTCATGGCTATTAAGAAGATAAGCAGAATGAAGTGATGAAGTTTGAGCTGCCAGCAACCTCCATCCTCCTTCTCTCACACTATAAGGGTGGAAACATTATACAAGGACCATAAAGGGATAAGTAACTACACAATGTTTCATGACTAATTACACAGCTAAGTATTTTATCGTCTGACTCAAATATTTTACTTGTGAGTGAAAGCCAAGTTATTCTTAGTATGGTGTTGTTTTCAGTAGTGTTAAGAATAGCTTGTGGATGTTTGTGATAAGAATGGAACAAATTGCACAAAAAATATGTTTTGAGTGACAGTGGTGAGATGTGGATGACTTCACTCAAATAATATCTTAGATTTTAATGAATATTAATTATTTTTAGAGGGGAGAAGAACACACACAAAGTGAGTGTTTGTGTGCACATACCAGCTATCACAACCACGTGCATTAATTACACTGTACAGTCAGATTATATAATTTTTTCCATATGCAGTATTTGAATTAAAAAAAGTCATGGCCGAAGCAGCAAGATTATAACCTATTGTTTGCAGTTTCACGATGTACTTCCTCTGTATTTTTGGTAGTTCTTTTGTTTGTCTTCTTATCTTGTAAGAATTGTAAATGTTAACAGTACTGTAATTGGTAGCAGAATTTGGGAGAGGAAAGGTAACTTCTGAGGTTGAGAATTATGCATTGTTTCATATAGAATTTCAGTAGTGTAGCAAACAGTTGATGGTGAATGGATTATCTTAATTGCCTTGTTCTGTTAGGGCTCTCCTTTGAGGGGGCGGCCATGACAGAAGATCCTCCAGCTCACAACATGTCTTTTATCATCTCCCCCTTTGCTCCTTAACTTATTAATCCACAGAGTCCACAGTGCCTTCTACAGTACCCTTTTACAGCCTATCCCCGGCTATACTGTACCATACCATTTTGGAAACTCTCTTTTTTCCCCATTTTATATCTCATTGTCACCCCCTTTAGCTCTCTTATTTCTCATCTCTTCCATTCAGCAGCTCTCTCTCTCTCTCTCCTCATGTGTGTTTGACTTCCATGTTTTCAGTTAGGAAGTTATATTGAGCACTGTTAAACCTCGACAACTTAGCTGTCTGTGTTGGGGGGATGGGGCCCTGAAAATTTAGATGCCTCAGGAAATTAACTACAGCATTTTCTCAAGTAAAAAGTAAAAAAAAATTCTAACAGTTTAATTGGATACTTAGTAGTTTAGACAGGAAAAATATAAGTAAACAGTTTAGTAGCACAAACAGGTACTGTATATTAATACAGTTATTCATTAGATTATATTTGATGACTTCATTAATAAAGTGCTATATGGAAAAATCACTTTGGAAAACCATGGGAATGAACAAGAGACCAAACACTATACAGGGGGCCTCCCAAGTTCGCGGATTTTTACTTTGCGGTTCTCAGTTTTTTGCGGATGTACCCAAGAATGTCTGTGGGTAGTTTTAAAGTTGTCGGCATTTTTGCGGCTGGGACAGGGAGCCATTCATTCTAGAGACAGTAATTTCCTTTACCTGTAGTATTGTAAATATATGTGTGTGTGTGCGTGTGTGTGTAGACACACACACACACACACACACAAAACACACACAAATAAATAATGATGGGAAAATGCTCTCACAAATTTATTAAAAATGTGACATTTTACCCTCAAGTTCGTGCTCTATTGCAGTACTGTGTTAATAGAGCATGGACTTGAGGGTTGACTGTCACATTTTTAATACATTTGTTTGATTATTTGTGAGAGGATTTTCCAATTATTATTTATTTGTATGTGTTTTGTGGGTGTGTGTGTACTCACACATATATACAATACTACAGGTAAAAGAAATATTTGTCCTAAGGGCAAACACAAAAAGGGAATATACATTTCTTTGTACAAAAGTAATGTACCCCCGTCCGCCAATTTTATTCGCGGATTTGGCGATTCGCGGCCATTTTGAGAACCTAATCCCTGTGAATTTGGGGGGCCCTCTATAATTGTTGATGTCTTTTAAGGGATAAATGCAAGGGGAATATATAACTACATTAAGTACTCCCTCTGTGTAAGTGCTCTGTTAGATGAAGCAAATCTGTAGAAGGCTTGAAGGTGAATGACGATCTGAAGGTTAGTTTAATCCTTTCACACCTTAACACAGTTCAGTACTGTAGTGGACTGCTATTAGACTCAAGTCACAAGATTTGGTTATGTGGAGCCCTATTGTGATGACTGGACTTGAGTTTTTATTTGGCCGAGTGCTGGCAGGAGGATGGCTTTCTCTCCATCTCAAAGGTGCTCGGCAAGAGAAGTTCAGTACGTGGTGGTGGACTTTATATATTCATAATTGCCATAGAGTTACTTAACCGCTTGTGATTTTAAATAAATACACGATTTTATATTATTTGAATTTTTATAGTTAAACTTAATAGGATTTTATTTTATTTATATCATAGTTTTAAATTATTAGTTTCATTTTCAGCGTCAAATGGCCACAGGCTGTGATGCCAGATATTTTACCCAATCAATCAACTGCTTGTTTCATAATTTGCAGTTTAATTTTCAGTAATCAAATTGGTCCCTGGGACGTGATGGGGGGGGGTGTCACCTTGTAGACTCATCTCTTTTGAAATAAAAAGGGATTTCAGGTTCATTTTTCCTTTTTTCAGAACTGTATTTTATTAACATTTCTATTCTTTTACATTAACCTGACCATCATAGGGCGACGTTATCTATACTTTACTGTACTTTTTTTCTTGTGAAGTTCCACTACACATACAAATTGTGACGCAGGTGTTAATATCATATACATGTCATCTGATGTTTGTCTGTTTAAGAATTACATTCTATAAAAGTGCTTTTACTGAGGAATTTGTGGTGTGCAAGTGTGTGAGATGTGTATGAATGTTATGGATTATTCTTTTTGTGTGTTTTGATGCCAATGAATTTATTACAGTAACCTTCTTCTTGTAAATCGTGTATTCATAAGAAAATGTGGGAGTCTAGAGCTTTTATAATTTGTAGTTGAAATATTAAATTTAATCAAAATTGAATATTCATGCAGAATTTTTTCATAGCTCAAGCCTGCAGATTTGATTGAAAATAAATAATACTATACATGCTTTTCTTTCTGTTTTAATGGGGAAAACTCATCCAAGATTTAATTACAATGTTATTGATTTTTTAATGCCACTGCCCATCAGAATGGAGAGGTTCGAAACAGGTGAAGGTGACGGTGTACCTCGCCGAGAAGTTGAGTTTATGGAGGAGGGCGGCGGCGAGGAGAACGAGAGGTCGCGCGATCGCGAGCGTCACAGTTCTCTTCCCGAGGAGGATCGTAGCAGACGGGATGTTGGCGGCGGCAGCGGCGTTGGGGGAAGCAAGGAGAACGACGTTGGCCCCAGCGGTGTTCAGGTGACCATCCGAGCCGACGGGGAGCGAGCGGTCAACAGCGAGGGGCACGTGCGGCGAGTAGCCGGAAGACTCTTTGTAGAATTGCGATGCCCACATTGTCCAAATCAGAAATCTATTACTTTTAAGGTATGTGAATGTTGTATATAATTAAAATGTCAAGTCTATTACTTTTTGAAGCATTTTCATGGGTACAGGACTACACCGTCATAACCTACAGATGATCATATGTATGTCAGTTGACTCATGGGTTCTTATAATGATGCCAAGATACTCACATGTTCTCAGAATAATGCCATATGACTCACTTCAGTTTTAGAACTCATCAGTTGTCTTCTGGTCTACCAAGTTTTTCAAATGTTGTTTGTGTCTTTGTAAATGTTTGGCAATTTTTAAAGTAATAATGAATGACATATCTTTTGACACAATTATAGAAAAGTTACGTTGGATTTTTTAGGAGAACTGTGTTATGAAAGTTTGATTTCAGGAAGTCAGATTTGTAATTCATACATGACGCTATGACAAGTTGCTGTGTAATCATCCTACTCTATGAAGCACAGTGTATACTAGTGATATTTATACTGTTATGTTATATATTTTTCAGGAATACAAATTACACTTGGTAAGTGACCATCACAAGACACAGTTGAATCGACTTGCCAGGAAACATTCGGTGGTGTTGCGTAAAATACGTATCCAACAAAGGCAGGAACAGAAGGAGATTGAAGCTAAATGGAGAGAGGAATATTCTGAAGAATTTCAAACAGAAGTTTCAAGGTAAAATTATATACATTGTATAGCATTAAAAGACATAAATATGTGACGCTTAACTGTACCACCTCTAAATGGCCAGTCACTACCAGTTAGTCATGATGGTGATGTCACACAAAACTCAGAGATTGTAGTGGAATTACTCGTATATTGTGCCATTGTAGTGTAAGTGACACCTTTAAAATAACATCATTGTCCTGGCCCTGAATTGTTTATAGTCTGTGTATGTATGTAAGTGTGCATGAACTGCAAAAATCTCGTGTGTGTATTTATTTTGTCATGTGTGTTAACAAGAATGTGATGTAGCTCCAGGTGTATATTCTAACTAGCTTGGCTCCTTGTTGCAGGTCCAGGTTTGAATAATACTGTATGGGATGAACACATGGGTAGTTTAAAGTGCGCTAATAATACACTAATACTTCAATCTCTTTTTTGTAAATTCTTTGTGATAATGCCTGTCATAATGTGGCATAGCCTTGTCAACTCTCACCTTGCTTAATTGATGTTCAGCTAAACTTTTAAGACAATATCTTATGTAAATTGAACCACAAAGTATTTGAAGGTGCCTTTTGTGTCATAGGAACAGAAGAGGTTATCAAGAATGCATTCAAGTATTGTATGTGGATGGAGTCCAATATTTTAGGGCTTACCTAATCCAGCCAAATAATTATATTAAAGGAATGTTAATAACGTAAGATGTGGGTTGCATATTATATTTTAAAGGTATCTGTCATTGATTACTGAAGGTAGCTTTATAACTCTCTAATTTTACTTTTATATTCCTTGAAATGCTCTTAACATTAGTTTTCAGATATATTTGCTGTAGATTTTCAGATGCTTTCACCACATTTAATATACTATAAGTTTTCTCAACCCCATGTAAACCCAACAGTTGGTTGTGTCCAGCCTTAGAGATAGACTTAGGGTAAGGGTGATGAAGCTTCAATATCTTCTAATTTTTTTATTCTTTTCTTCATGACAGATTCTGTGGTACTTGCAAGTTGGCATATAAATGCTTGGGCAGCAATAGCAGTGAAGGCAGTAGTATCCACAATCGTAGTAAGCTGCACAGGGTGAGGAAGAGGAGACACATTTGTGATTTATTTTATGTCTTTATTAGAAGCAGAAGGTTGCCTTAACATATGCTAGATTCAAAATTACATACTGTACAAAGTTTGTGATTAGTTCATCATTGCACATATATCCCCATTCAGATCTTAAAATTATTTTATCTTAAATTACTATTCTGATAATTAGCTTATTTAGATTAGTTTTTATCAGTAATTACATGTAACTTTTTTCAGGTGATGCAAAATATACAAATGTCTTACTCTAAAACTCTATGATTTTCATGGCCATTTTCTCTCAGATGCAGCGGCACTACCTTCATCCGCGGTGTGGCCTCTGCCGCATTACCTTTCCCAGCCGTATGGTCTATGAGCACCACATCGCCTCAATCAACCATCTCAGGGTAAGTTATGACCAAAGTGTACCAGCATCTTTCAAGAAGGTTGTAGAACTTGGGAAATGGCTGTGCTTTCCTTGTGATCAATGATACATACCACACTGACACCTGAACGAGCCCATAAAAGCCATGTAGCCAGTACGTTTGTTAGCTTCCACCAATCATTGCACTGTTACCAGCTCTGTTTAAACAAAGCTCGAGAATTTTATAAATATTATATAATTATTTTGTGTGTATTCTTGAATTTTGCATTAGCAGTATCAGGTTAAAAAATAACCAGATAGCTTTGCACATAATATATTGTGGAGTATTTTTCACTTCCTCTTGCACCTAACTGGGATATGAGGATCCATCTAAAATAAAAAAACAAGTCTCACTTAACCTCATTAGTGAAAACAAACTTTTTAAACTTAAACAGTGAAAACAAGACTCAGTGAACCTTAGCAGTAGTGTTTTGTGGACAGCTGTATGTGTTAAGCAGTGTAAAGCTTCAGATCAAAGATTTTATAAAGCATTCATAGGTTACCAGGAAAATTAAAAACAAATCTGACTTGCTTTGTTTTGTCAATATGAAGTGTTCATTTTCCTAAATTTTAATACAGTATTAGAAAAAATACATGCCACTGAGCTAATTATGCAGATTAAAGGGATTAGTGTGTGTGTGATGGATTGAGGGCGAGCTGTATAAGCAAATACAGTAGTATGGAGGGTGAATTTACAGCTGAGAGTTTTTAATTCATCTTAATTTTTTTTGTATTTACAGGTTAGGACAGCCACAATTGACAACCAGGGTGGTAGTCGCCGTAGTGATGACCACAATCATGAAGAAGATGGAGATGATCTGGACTTGGCCAACTTTATGACTCTTGATTCAGTGGGAGAAGATGGTTAGTATTTAAGTCTCTCTGCTGGAGGTCCTCTCTCTCTCTCTCTAAATCAATCCTGAGTATATAGCTGATTAACATTCAAGGTTGCTCAGTTCAGTGCGACTTACTAGTTAAACATTAAAAAAGTCATAATTAACTTACAGATAACTTTTAGAGCTGATAAACTGTCAAGAGTATATCAGAGATGTCTTATGGTCACTTTTGATTCTCGTCGCTTAGGGTGTACAAGAAAAGGCTTGCAAAAATAAACGGAAATTAATTCCCAGAAATTATGTGCGAGTAAATCATGTAAAAAGGAACCTGGCTTAACCTAACTGATGTGTGTTGGATGTACCTTATGTGATTCTAAAACTATGAGTATTCTTGATTAACTTTTATGCTGGATGTTATAGATGATGAAGTTGGGTCAGAACATGAGGAAATAACTGGAGGGCTGGATGCTGTTGAAGCGGCAGAGGAAGAAGCAGCTACAGCAGAGGATGACGAGGATGATTTGGAAGATTCTCCCATAGAGAGGAAGAGAGAAGGACATAGCTCTTCACGGCGAGATAAAGGTTCGGGGTATGATAGAGAGCAGAGAGATGAGTCACAAGGGAAACAAAACAGAGGGCTAGAAGAGGAAGATGATGATGATGCTCAGCTGGAGAGTGACTGGGAGAAGGAGCAACCAGAGGATGAAGAAGAAGAAGGACGTAAGCCACTAGGTGTGTGTGACTTACTCTCTTTATATTATTTCTTCAGATATTGTGTTCATTTCTTCCACAAGACATTGGCAGAGATTGTGACTGGAAGTATAATTTCAATTCCAAATTCATTTTTTCTGCAGTACAACGTCAATGATGGTGTTTGTTTTATACCTTAAAAATATACCTACTGTAGTATTATAGTAAAATTAACATGGACAAAAATATGAACTCCATACCATGGATGAGACACAGAGGTCACACTGTTCATTCTTTTTCAGTTTGTTTCATTGCCTCCACTCCATTGTCATCTCACTATAAATAATAATTTTGTTGTCTAGCAGAGATGACACACAAGGATTACTTTGTTATCTTGTATCTGAGATTCAACAATGATTTAATTAGAGTAACTGATTGTGTTCAACTGTTGCTGCTGATAATTGGGTTGTTGTAGAAAATAATTCAGTTTGTCACTCCACAGGAACTGAGTATGTTCGTCGTATTGAAGCGTACTTCTGCAAACTCTGCTACAAGATTATCCGTGCCGATTCTTCTCTTGGTTCACGGGCAGTTCAGCGTCACTGTCGTTCCTTCAACCACCTGTCACACTACTGGGACCATCACCCGGCACCACTTCAGGTAAATTGAGATGACTGCATATTAGGTATTAGATGTGAGAGTAGATTTCTAATAATTTTTGTGAGATTTTCCGTCTTAGCATGAGAGATCTGTTCCTACTCAAGGGTTATGGATACTATAAAATTCACAATTACTGAGGCTTTTTTTTAATTAAAGTTCCTTATATATTTCCTACCAGCTTGTAAGAATTATTTTCCTATATTTTTTCCACGTCTAAGTTTATAAAATGAGGTAAACAGACACAAAGAAATTGTCCATAAAAGACTTGAATTATCACGTGTTCTTGCTGTCACTTGTTGTTTGGTCCATGTCGCTGTCACTCATCATACGTTCAGTTTCCACAATCAGGGTGATGTTTAGACCTGTCTACCTGTCCTAACGGTAAAGGTATGTCTTATAATCAGTGAATACTATGATTAACTGAAGTTTTCACCTACTCTTTCAGGATGAAGATGCACCTAGTGGGGATGAAGGGGAAGGGGAAGGTGAAGGTGAAGGTGAAGGTGATGGTGGTATTGAAGAAGATCAAGAGCGGGACAAGTTATGGGAGGAAGTGGATAAAGGCCTAACTGCTCTTCAGGGTAGGTGCATAGTTATTAATCTTACTGGATGTATCCCTTCTCTCAGACCAAGTTAGAGGAGGAAAGGGTAGGAATTCAACACCATTGTTTATTTCTTACTGCAAACAATAATCAAAATATTCCCCCCCCCCCCAATAAAAATCTGAAAATATTTACTCCTTCCACTTACATTTGTTAAGTAATTTTTATATATATATTTTTTTTGGGAAGATGACGTCGAATGCCACTTATCATGTGTTGTTGCGAGTTGTTTTTTAATTGATGTATTTTCATGTTTTAAGGTGAAATCATGACCGAAATAGAGAGTGAAGATGTCACAGAAGACCAAGACAAGGAGGAGAAAGTCAACGGCACCGAGGTGAAGAAGGAAGATGGTGACGAGGCCGATGAAAAAGACAGCAAAGATGGTAAAGAGGATGCAGAAGCTGTTGATGTGGAAGACGAAACTAAAAGTAAGGTTAGTAGTACGTACGTTGGCCATAAGATAGACCGTAACTTGTCTTTGGCTTACTGTGGTACTCTTAATTGATGGTTTTATTATTATTTATTTTATATATTTATTTTTAGCAAAGGTACAGTTAATCATGTCAGCTTTGTTAGGTCATGGTTCACCTTATAAAGACATAAATTCAAAAAGGTAGAATTATAGTATTGGGAAAAGGGAATTTTATTTTTAGATACATTATATATATTACAAATACAGCACAAAATTCATATACAGTAGTACAAATCACAAATAAATTTCTATATATATATATATATCTGTTTTAGAAAATGATACAGTACCGGTGTATTAAATATTACAAGAAAGAAGGAGGAAGAGGAAGATATGATTCACTGGATTCGTCTCTGTAATGATAGATTATGGAATTAAACTACAGTATCTTGTCAATTGTAGATGTTCCTTTATACATGAGGTTGTATCCCTAAATGTTTAATGAATGTACGCTGGTAGTATACTGGGACGAATTACATGTATACTTTGTCATACGTTGTTTTGTTTACACGGTGAAACCTCCATATAACGGACTTCGCTCTTTCCATATAATGTTAAATGGGGGTTTCACTTGAAATAACCCTCGATATAATGGACTTTCATCTCTATATAGTTCATTATATAGAGGTTTCATTGTACATTGTTAATGGCTTCTGGAAAAGTAAGTTAACGTAATATAATTAATTTTTTAACCAGACTTTTCGTTTATAAATCAAATCATGGAAGTTCAGATGTTTGTAAAATGATAAAATGTGAGGAAGAAAATATTAAACAGAGCCTAGATCAGTGTGTAAAGTGGGAGTCTTTGTTGAATATTAGTTTAAATTAATAAGAACTTTGTGTTTTCAGTTGCCAAATGAAAAGAAAGAAAATATCAGCCATGACTCAAATTTGGACAAAGAAGCTTGGGATGAAGTCGGCGATGACTATACTGGCTAGAAATTTGTTGTTTGTGGGTTATGAATGGGTGCCGTAAAGGCGTATGGTTGAGTCTTATGGTGGTACAGTACAGGAGGGATGATGCTACTGTTTGAGCACAATGATCATGTATTAGAAACAGCCAGTAATAAAAGAAAGTGCTGGTTCAGTACAGTATATGGTAATACTTTGTGAAATAAAAGACTGTTATGAATGATTTTAATCTGTACATTGTATGTTTTGTGGGTAACTAAGGCTTAATGTAGTGTAGTGGCTAAGAACATTATTGGGATTTATGGAACAAAATTGTGAAAAATAGGGACGGGTAAGTGATGACTGCTGAGTTACCAAAAATTGGGTACTGTAGTTAAGCCATTCAACAGTCTTATTACCAGTTAAAGACAAATCCTTTACTAAAATGAAGTTATTGTGCAAAATACAGTACAGTACAGTATTGAGAACATATTCACAATACAAATAAAATGACTGAATTGTTCATGTGGGTATTGTTTAACCTCATTCATCCCAATAGGTAAATTTGAAGTACTGTATGTTAAGGCAGCTTTTCTTACTAGCATAAAGATAAAAGAGATTGTTTATCACCAGAAAGTTGTAATGTATGATGAGAAATCCTTTCTTTTTGTACTGTTATTGAATTTTTTTTTTAAGCTGCTACATTTACCCATTGAAGTTGTTTGAGGAAAGTTGAGTGATTGATAACTTTTTATCACTGTAAAATATTAGTTTCAAAGTAGAAATGATATACATTTCTTATGATTGCTTAAACAAAAAGATACGCCACCATGATGGCATGAAATATTGTAGGTGTTTTTTTTGCACTGCTTCTTGTATTGTTATTATTTTTGATAAATGAGTGATTGTGTGTTGCTCTTATTGTGCCATACAGGAAATGGCTTACAAACATTATAAGTTAACATAATTCATCTGTATCTTATGATAGATATTTGTATACATACTTGTCCAGCAAAGAGAAGAATCCTTCATTAATGTGATGTAGGTCAGTTTTCTTCTTGACACTGGAATTATTTAATATTCCAAGATTTTCTTTATATTTACATTGTATTTCTTTGTATTAAAAATGCTTTTGTTATGACAGAAGCCCCTGAGAATAAATGTATAATAAACAAAGGAGTTGTACTTTAATATGCAAGTCATAGAGGTGAAGTAGAATTAATATTATCCACATTTGTATTTACTATCCACCAGTATCAGTTATCTCCATATTATTGTTGTTGGGACGTCAGTGTGAGTATCAAGTGGAATTAAAAAGTGGTCGTCTTTCACTTTTGCTGTTACTCTATGGCCTAAACACAAAGGTATTATAATCATGGAATAACTCAGAGAAATTATTCAAGTGTGTAAATGAATCATAAGGAGTTAGTCTTAATAACTACAAGGTAAAGTAATCCTTAAACACATTTGGATTATGGTGTAAATATTTTTTCACCAGCAGAAAGGTAACATAGGTCTTGGTGGTGACTGTTAGTTGTCTGTATAAATTCACATGCTCAGGATTGTTCATGAGCAGAGAGTAGGAGCTGTATACTGTAATTTCAGGATTAATTAAATTGAAATAAGTTAGATGATGTTAAGCTCAAATATTTGTGGTAAATCGGTAAATAAATAATGTTATTTGATTATTCAAAGTGAACGTCTAGATAGGAAAAGTCACTTGAGGAAAAACACCGATTTATTCTTTCATGGTATAGTATTAGTGTATGTTGTTTCATGCTGTACTTTATTATTATTACTTACATCAGTGATAAATTAAAACTCATATTAGACTTAAGTTCAGCTTCAGACAAGCCTTGCAGTTTTGTACTGGACATACAGACCCCTGAACTTGACCACACGTGGCATACAGTATACTGCTTGGATGTGAATAAAAAACAATCTGAACTCTCCATTATTGGGTATGGAGTTGTAGGATGTTAGCTTAGGTGTTTTGAGATATTGAAGAACATGTTTTGCAGTTGAGGAATTTCATGTGCATAATTATAAAGTAGGGCTCTATGGGTTTACTATTAAACTTATTTCTCGGTTTAATAAAAGATGTGGAAGGTGAGTTAAAGAATGGAATGCACGGATGTTGCCAATGTCATATAAAACCTATGATATCAGTGCATCATATTCTTTAACCCACTTACCACATCTCTTTTTAAACTGAAATTTGTAAATAACTATTAAAGATTTAGCAAATAACTCCAACTTTTTTTTCTTTTTTTTTTTATCATGAATGGAGGTCACTTTGCAGAATTTTGTACGGTATCTTATAAAATCTTGCACACACTCAATTTTGTATATAGTATTGACCCTAAAATGACATGTCACAGGTTGTTATTTTTTGTAGTTTGCCAGTAGTTGAAACCTGTTGGGATTTGTGTCTGTAGCATCATCAGTCAGCTCTGGAGAAACCTTTCCTAAATACTGACTAGCAGAAGGTTCTTCTTTCCCATAAAGAGGTACCTTCTTATGGTAGCCCTGACCTGTACCTTTTGAGCTGCCTGTGGATGCCTTGCCTGATTGTAGGATGTTTGGGCCAGGGTGGCTAGGACCTTACCTAACCAACAACTGTCCGCTCAGTGCCCTCCCTCCCTCCTTGCACTCTTGGCTTGTTATTTTTTGGGGGGGCTACCTACTGCAGCCCCAGAATACACACACTCATGTACCACTAATGATCACTTCATGCATTACTTGACACTTTACTCTTACTTTGTCACAAAAACCACTATAGGCATATACAGTACAGTACAGGACTGCATTCAGACACCTTGCTTCTTTACTTATTATAGATCATATAACAATTAGGTGTTAAGAATAGGTTAGTATTAACTAGATTAATAATGAAAAGATTTGGAATTAATAATGGGCACTTGGGCAGGTTAGGTTAAGTAGTGTGCCATTATATTAAATGATGCCAATGATGGATCGCTTTTTTTAATAAATAAAATTTGAGGATGACTTGCCACTTATTGCCAAGACTAAAAAATTTGAGACCACTACAGTAGTGATAAAAAGAATTCTAAGTTGTCTGTGCGCATGCAATAATTTTTATTTGTATAGTGCATGGAATGAGAGTGTGGGACCAAGTGCAATGGACTGTAAAATATGATGGTTTAGGCATGTAGGTATATCTCGATTGAGTATATACAGTACTTCATTTGGTGACTTGTATCATCTTTATCTTCTTAAAACAAGGAAAAACTTAATACTGTACTACAAGAGAATGTACTTTATATTGTGTGTGTGGTGTTCTGGATTGTGAATACTGTATACTGTAAATGTTGGGTGAGTTGAATAGGGACAAAAAGGTTGATAAAAACAAACTTATTGGTAAAGTAAACTTGTTAAATATATAAGTAATTGAGAGGAGTCTTTCTTTAGGCTCCCCATTATGTCATGATTTTTATCTGAATTAAGTTTAAGTAATTAGTGTTTGGGATGAGGGTATATCAGCTTCTAGTAGAGGAAACTTTGTTATTACAGTATTTTAATAAACAAAAACTAATATACCGGTAGTACAGTAGTTGGAAATTTAGGGTAATAATAATAATTATCTAAAGGGTGTTGACTTGCAGAGATATTCAGTGTTTGGTGGGGGGATTTTCTTGTCACTTTAAACAAGGCAAGTTGAGAAATTTTTATACCCCCAAATAACTAATTCTGACGGTGATAAGTGTGTGAAGGAAATGCAGTTGATAAATGTTTTCTTCGTAATGAAATTGGCTGTTTCTCTACATTTGTCTTACGACATTCATCAAGATTTAATTTCTGCTACAGATGGGGGTGAGGGATGGAGGGTGCAGCTGTGATCAACTACTAGTGAGACGGACTTTTGCCTGGGTATTTACAGTAACATTAATAAAACTCAAAACTATCACACAAGCTTTCATCTCACTGGCTGTTTAATGTGTAGAATTCAATGAAGACTTTATATTTGTTATTGTTGGTAGTTTATAGTGTGCCTGTGGAAGTACAACATATAAGGATTTTGTTTAGTTTTGTTATTTACCTGCGTTAACATCTCATCCACTTACTCTGGGGCACACACCATAGCTTTCTTCTTCAGATTACATTTTTTATAATAATTCTCATTTTTATAATAATTCTCATTTTGTTCTACTTGTTTTTGCACTTAACTCGTTTCCCAAATTGTGCTTTTCCCCTTATCTATATTTAATGGAACAGCCCCAAATATTTTCAATCATTCTAATGTCTTGTTGCAAATTGATGGTAATTGTTTCACTTGCTTGATGATTCGACCAACATGCAGAATTTTTGTATGAAATGTGGGACTGTACTGTAGATGGAAACTAAAAATGAAGTTTTGAAATTGGTGATGGGTTTAAAGAATGTCAATATGTGTATCAATTTGAGAAGCAGTTAAGAATAATTGAATATGGTTTAAAATTTTCAAATGTCAAAAAACAAAAAAAAAATCCACTCCCTATCCTACCATTTTTATGTTACCCACGATAGAATACACATGACCCGTCCACCTTCATGACACATATATTCAACAACTTAATAAAGGCTGTGTGGATCGAGTAAAGTTTGTTCTGCAGCTTCTTATCATAGTTATATAGAATAAGGTCAATAATTGGTATTTTCATTATATTTATCTTTAATTTTGGCTCTGTTGTAATTGTTTATTTCATCTGAATTATTATGGAATTATCTTCTGTATATACTTAGATCATCATCATCAATGGACTGAACATTATCATATATAAAAAAAGTCCTCCTGAAATATTGTATTTATGTAGTCTTTGTCATTGTGGTTTTTATACCCCACTGTAGTATGGAGGGGACATGTAGTTCTACAACCCTATCCATCTGTTGTACAAAATATTTCAGTAGAATTTAATAATGGTTATTGTTCAACTCTGTGAGGGTACAGTGCAGTACTGTATATCACCGTTAAGTAATTTATAATATCTTTGCATTTTTTAATTGTTTGGTAATAGATAACAAGTGTATTAACCTTTATTTTATTGAAATAAGGAAAAAAAAATTATAACCTTATTTTGGACATTTACAGTATGATAATATTGTGTTCTTGTCTACTGGAAGCTGTAGTGGGTTCATTTGTTATTTTTCAATGGTAAATCAAAAGGGAACAAGTGATGTGACTCAACAAATAAGAAAGACATTAAAGATAGGTCATATAAGTGTACTACAGTGTACGTACGTATTCATATTTTTTAACTGTCGTGTAAGTTATGATTACTACAATGATTTAGCTTAATTTCTCTTAAGTAATTGTCATTCTATTCATTTATATTATTTAAGGTTTTCATTCTTATACATGAGGATGGAAATAATTTGGGTTAAAAATCTTCATATTTTATTTGTATATATTGTATTGTAGATAAGCTTAGGTATGGTAGCTGAACCTTATATCAAGAGGAACTTGGCAGACTGGTCTAAGGGGCCCTGGTTTTACTGTACTGTACCTGAAGGTGACCTAACAACTAAGATTAAAGGTCAGTGTTCTTAATGGTTAGTCCAGGTTGGGGTCTCTCAGAAGCGGTAAACAATTAGAAGATAGAATTAGTGGTGATAGGTCCTCAACCCCACTCACCCTTAATGCCTTTTATAATATGGATTAAAAGGTTATTCTCTTTTTGTATTGATCTTCATTGTCAGTTCACTAATTGGTACAACAAATTAGTAACATGTTTCAGTACCTGTAGCTTATAAACTTTCAAAACATTTCTTTGAGTGCTGTTTGATGTACATGAATTGTGAACTTGTTCTTCGTGTAATGTTTATATCGTATTAAATATTCTTGTGTTGAATATTATGATTCTTACACACCATGTAACCTGTGGAGTCCAGAGTGTTTACAGTGTATCCTTATGCTTACTGTGCAGTCTTGGTAGTATATTGGTAAAGTCATTCGTCCATTGTGTCATATTGCCTCACAGTTTCATAAAGATAGTTTTATGAGTGAGTGTACATTGTAGTATATCTGTTTTAGATGGTGATTAAGTATTATAGAAAATTCAATTGAGAGCAATGTTTCAGAGACTAGTTTCCTATAGTCCTTCACTATTGTGGGTCAGTCTGGCAGTAGTCCTTCACTATTGTGGGTCAGTCTGGCAGTAGTCCTTCACTATTGTGGGTCAGTCTGGCAGTAGTCCTTCACTATTGTGGGTCAGTCTGGCAGTAGTCCTTCACTATTGTGGGTCAGTCTGGCAGTAGTCCTTCACTATTGTGGGTCAGTCTGGCAGTAGTCCTTCACTATTGTGGGTCAGTCTGGCAGTAGTCCTTCACTATTGTGGGTCAGTCTGGCAGTAGTCCTTCACTATTGTGGGTCAGTCTGGCAGTAGTCCTTCACTATTGTGGGTCAGTCTGGCAGTAGTCCTTCACTATTGTGGGTCAGTCTGGCAGTAGTCCTTCACTATTGTGGGTCAGTCTGGCAGTAGTCCTTCACTATTGTGGGTCAGTCTGGCAGTAGTCCTTCACTATTGTGGGTCAGTCTGGCAGTAGTCCTTCACTATTGTGGGTCAGTCTGGCAGTATTAAGTTCAACACACTAAGCTCGTAGATTGTTATTTCTAGAATATGGAGTTCAATGCCTCCTTCCTTCAATTGGCTTAGCTGGCTTGTGCAAACATGAGTTGTTTGATTGTCTGTGTCGTTTACAAATTGGGGATTGATTCTGAAATTCAGTTTTATAACAAGCCCTGTTGACTTTCACCCTAATGATCACAATTATAACCTGAATAGATCTCTGTTTTATCTTCTGTACGCTCTATCTCATGTATCTCAACTGCTTTTATTCTCCATCTCTTCTTTATTACTTTTAATCTATCCTCGTTTCTATCCTTTTCTCGCTTATTTATCTCCCCTCTTCATCTCTCATACTTTCCTCCACATTTCTTATCACTTCATCCATTTGTCGCCTCCTCTGTAATCCTTCTTCACCTCTAACTTGTTACACGCTTTTCTTACTCTCCTCATCTCGCCTTTTCTCACCCCTCCACTTATATCCTTTTCTCTTCTCCCCTTTCTCTTCTTTCACCTTCATGTATTTTTACCCTACACTTCTCACTACCTTTCTAGCCTCTCATTTCTTACCCCAGCCTCTGTTACTCTCTGCCTCACCACAAGAAAACAGCCTAGTGTCTTACCCCAGCCTCTGTTACTCTCTGCCTCACCACAAGATAACACACCCTAGTGTACAGTACGTATATAGTGTCTGTTTTTATTCTACAGGTTGTCAGGAAGTTCAATAGCTACAGTCGTGCACACTACTGTACTGTGCATCCATCTCACAGAGTTTTAATTTTTACGGTCTAATAACTGGGGGGAGTTCAAAACATCACGAAACGAAAAAGAGAGGAAAATAAAGAGTAAAGAGGAAGTGGAAATCAAGAAAAGAGGAACAGTGACAAAAGCTCTCAAGAAAACTCTAAAATGGTAACAAAACCAAACTAGGAAAGTCAGGTACGTGCTTTTATTATTAGCTAAAGATCTTGTTTAACTACATCTTAAAGGCAGTCTCCTGAATTCAGACTCCCCAACCTAAAAGAACCAATGATGTATGAGAGAGGTTGCTACCACCAACAAACGTATACATTTTTGCTTCACAAAGTTCTTATCATTATAGTAAGGATTTTAAAAGCGGCGACATTTACTAGAATTATCGTCACAATAATTGTATGAAGAACTAAAGGTTGGTAAATGGTAGAGTTGTTTGGAGAAAGGTGATGGTAATTTAGTTAAAAGTAGTGATTTTCTTTTTCGCTAACAATGCAATTATCTGTGGAGATAAAGTAAAGAATTACCCATATTAGAGACGCAACATTACCTAGGAGAGAATTCCACATTCATATACAGTACAGTAAACACTAAAATATCTTCGACACTCCAGTTGGTTATTTGCATATGTAATCATAAACTGATGACCCATAGTCGATATTGGAACACTGATAAATAAATCACTCGGTTTTATTGTGAACTTATGATGGTAAATATAGTAGATAATATTTACAGTGTACAAAAAAATTCCCCATGGAGAAGTGTTCAAGTTATATTGTGGGGTATGTGATGTTTGGTTCTCACTCAGGATGGGATGGAGAAAGGAAACTCACAATGTGCTCTCTGTATACATGTTGTATTGGATGTACAATGCAGCTTGGTGCTGGGAAGGCAGCATGGTTACAAGCGTTGAGTAGAGAGAGCTGGTTGGTGAGGGTGCTCAGAGGAGGACCAGCTTGTGGGTCGTCATGCTCGCCGGCGGGAGCGAGGGCCGCCAGGCAGGCGGAGGAGGAGGAGGTGTTGCTGGCTGGTTGGTGTAGGTAGAAAGAGAGAGGTCACCACGAGGTCAGGTCTTAAATAGCGGGGGGTAGGCGTGGCTTAGTAGTTGACCTCCGTGATGTATGGCGGCGCTGGTTGACCCAGACCACGAGGCATACACTGGGGAATTCACGGGGTCGGCAACTCAGCGACAAACAGCGTTTGTAGGGGAGAAATCCACTACAATATCACGTACTTGCCAAGAGACCCTTGTTGCTGGTTTTCCGTTTTCTATACAGCTTCAAGAATGAAAAAGATTTGTCCCACAAGCAAGCTGCTCAGGAACCACCAGGCAAGGATTTGGAGTTGGCAAAAACAACTTCAGCATCTACCTGGTTCCTTGCTTTTGGCGTTTTGACATATTGACCTACCACCAAAGTCTCTTATTTATGTTATTTGAGGAGCACTGTCTTATTTACCTGCTTTCTGTCTATACATAAACCATAATCCGTAAATCATCGGCATGAGTTGGACAAAAATACACTCATGTATAGTAATGCAATGGCTGTTAAAAATAAAAATGTATATGGCTTATGACAGGAGTCTACGCTCGTTCTCGAGACCGTTACACCTATCACGCAAGACAGCAGAACGTCACACACTCATCCGTCCTGAGACGTCCCCACACAACACCTCGTGCCACCTGCTGGACTACCACCATCGCCTTTAACACATGGAACTGCACTTTTCGAAGCTTTGGAAGAGTCTCGAAGCAAGTTTCCTGGTGGGAATTATAAGCTAGTAGTACTCAAAATATCGAAACTTCCAGAGCTTCGAAAAGGTGATATTCCTGAAACAAGATCAGGGTGATCGTAAATGGCGTCGTACACCCCATGACTGTTCTTGAATACGGCCCTTAATTAAGACTTACTGATGAAGGGACGATGCTTATCACCTGCAGGCTTTGTATTACAGTATTTAGTTAATATGTACTTGAGAATTGACAATTACACGTTTTCTATGATGAGGGAGCTTTGATGCCGAAAATAGTTAAAATAATTTGGGTAAAAATAAAATCGGCTTTCTTAGCACCATGAAACAGGAGCTTCAAGAGAAATGTGCCTCGTCTTGACATGCTTAAAGACAAGACGAAGTATGACTCATCACAAATTCCATTTTATTCTCCTTTCGTCTGTCTGTCTGTCTGCTGGGAAAAACATCTCTTGGTAATACTGAACGTCTTAATATTTACTTGATTTTTCATGGAAGACTTAAGGCTATTCTCTTAATGGTCTTATTTGTTAGGCGGGAGCTGTCGACTTCATTAAATAATAGGTTTCCACCCATCAGACATCTGTCACAGCGTAACCACGAGGGACAAAAAAAATAAAAACAGTTTGAAGTACGAGTGACGCCATTGTTTCTATCACAAGCTGCTCCGAGTAAGAGAACAATAACTTTCCTCCCTCCTTTGTGTAAATTATTCTTTGTACGATATGCGTCGCTTTGTCTCACTCAGAAATTCATGGAGAAGTCTCAGCTAGGAGGTTGGAGGAGTGAGTAGCTGTGAGAATATATACAAGCTCCTGGCGGCCAGCCCTCAGGAGTTTAGAGCGTAAGAGTCGGTGTTTTTCTTGTGTGGAGTCTTGGGTAAATGTGACCAGTAGTCTGTTATTGTTTTTATCACCTGAAGATTAACCTGTACCTTAGTCCAGCCTTAACCTAACCTACTTTATTCCACCTTAATGTTAACCTAACTTAACCTAGCTTAACTTAACACCCTCCTTCCCCCCAGGCAGCTTAAGTGTGTTTGTACTGTTTAATCATCAGGTGAAATAAGCCGAGGGATAATCTTCATGTGTGTGTGTGGTGGTAGTGATGTTGGTTGTCCTGGCTGGAGGTCTCAGTTGTAAGGGCCCTTTGTTTTATGTTTGAAGGGGCAGTTATGTGAATGGTTGATCTCCCCCTTAACCCTCTCTTCACCCCCCCTTACTCCCCCTTCTCTCACTCTTCCCCTTACACTCCTCTCACCCTCCTCCTTCCCCTCCTCTTACTCTCCCCCTTTTCTCACCCTCCCTCTTACCCTTTTCCTCCTACTCCCACCCATCATCCCTCTCCTTCTTACCCCCCTCCTCTCATCCTCTCCCTCCTACCTCTTTCCTCCCATCTCCCTCTTTCCTACCTTCCCTCCTCCCATCTACCCCCCTCCCTCATACCCACGTCCTTCAAGCCTCTTTGTTCCCAATATCGATCTGGCTCTTCAACACAAACTCGTCCTGGGTCTTGGGATCGTGTCGGTCAACGTTCGAATCCCGTTTGATCTGTTACTGAACCACCGTTTCAAAGAATGGTGACTGAACCCCGTTAATATTGTCTGATCACCTGAGGATTAGCCACCCTTAACCTAACCTAATGGTTAAGTGTCGATTAAAAAATATAGACGGTAGAGTGGTTGTGTTCGTTGTACTGGCATAAATTAATATTGGTTGTTTGTTATCTGTCTCCTTTTGTCACTATGGGCTGCTGAAAGTGTGTGTGTGTATATAATTTACTCT